CGCGCGCACTGTACGCACACTCCGCGCGCACCAAACGCACAGACAAGAACACAGACTGCACAAGCATGTTATCCCCTACGTCCATGCCTTCCATAAACCCTATCACAGAATCCTATTAAATTTAGCTAGTTTAGCAAAGCCCTGCGTGTTTGATATGGACGAACAAAATGTTGAATCAAATGCCCCGCAGCCGTTCAGTTCTGAGGCCGGCGAAGGAGCTGAACTTCAGAAGGCAGACTGGAATGCTTATGCGAGCTTTGCTTTGGCTTGGCTTGGAGCTTGCATCTGAAGTTGGATGAATGTGACCTTCCTGTGCTGATGCCTCCTTTCCTCCAAGCCAGCTGCGGCTAGACGGTTAACAGTACGGGAACCAGACAGTTTCGGCAGAAGCATGGGCGCCTGCGCGCATTTCTGAATCTCTTGCCATGGCACTTGTCAAGAAGCCCATCCAGAATCTGAATGCAGCCACTCGGTATTTGCACTTGTGCATCTTGAGCCTGCTAGCATGTGCTTGATTGTGTCTTCTCTGCCCAGGACTCGGAGACATGGAGAGGATATACATCCGTGCTGTCTAGCGCCGCGAGACGGTCCCGTTGGCAAGAGGTTACTCGTGTGTTTGCAGATCTGAGGAGGCCCGAGTTGGCAATCATAACATGCAGTAAGCACGAACCGATGAACTCGTGAATGGCACGGGCTTTGTTTTCTAATTCTCTTGCTCGCCCTCAGCCCAAGCTTCAGGTGCCGATTGCGGCCGAATGTGATCATACACAATGCTGGGATCAACGCTTTTGGCAAGGGTGCGCGGTGGGAATCCGCATTGTGGCTGTTGGACGTCATGTGTTGCAGTGGACTTGTGCCGACCGTGATCAGCCACAATGCATTCATCAGCTCGTGCGATCGAGAAGCACGATGGCCGGTGGCGTTGCATTCAATGTGTGAAATGCCGGCAGGGATGACCGATCTGATCACTTGCAACAGCGCCGTCAGTGCCTGCAGTAGATCGAATTGGAAGCTTGCCTTGGCCATGGCCTGCGCCATGGCTCAGCAGTCGACACGACTTGATGAATTCACCTGTGGCTCCTTGCTCCTTGCATCGGAGCGCCACGGAATCTGGAGACTTGCTGTTGGCATCTGCGCTGATATGCGTGCCATGATGCTGCGATCAAACTCCTTCACGTACAGCTCCGCACTGATGGCGTGTGAGGGTGCTGCCTGGCAACAGGCAGTGTTGCTGCTTCAGTCCATGGAGCAAGACGCCACTTCTCCCAATCAAGTCTGCTACACGGCAGCCATCAAAGCCTGTGAGAAGGGTGGGCAATGGGAACTGGCATTGGCTATCTATGCGCAGGCAGAAAAGGCACTGCACTCCCGAGACCGAGACGATCTTCTATGTGATGCAGGGCTCCGGGCCTTACAGCAAGGGATGCAGTGGCAGGGAGCTCTAGAGCTGGTCTTTGACATGTCCTCATCTCAGCTGAAGCCTGATGCCCTGTGTTTTACCTCTCTTATCGAGGCGTGTGCAAAGGCAGGTGAGTGGCAAACCGTTCTGAAGATCATTGCGGCCATGTGCGATGCTGGGGTGGATGACTTTCGGATAGCACGCTATGAGCACTCGATTCAGGCCGGCAGCACTCTTGACTGCTTCAAGCACTCCGCTCTGGCGGCAGTCATGCAGTGCATGAATGCTGATCCAAGACCTTACACTTATGTCGACACACATGCAGGATCAGCTGTCTACACTCTTGGACAAGATCATCAGCATCTGATCTTGCGCTTGCTTGAAAGTCGGCGCGGCCTTCCCTGGAATTTGGCATCTTATGTGAACTCTGTCCGACACTTTCAATATTCCACTGACAATACACTGTATCCTGGCTCTCCAACGATGGCATTGCAGTGGATGAGGCCTCAGGATGACGCGCTTCTCTTCGAGTTGTCTCCCACAATCTTTTCTCAGCTGAAGCAGAATGTACAGCGGTTTTCTTTGGGTCGTGTCAAGATGCTGGAGACGAACTCGTACTGGTGGCTATTGCATCGTCTTCGCAAACAGCCGACAAGTCGACAGCTGGTTCTGATCGATCCACCTTACGAGCCGTACGAAGCCTACGTAGCGTGGAGCCTCTACCTTCTTCAAAAGCTGCATGATGAATGGCCCTCCAGCTGCATCATTCTGTGGTATCCGTACCTGGATGAACAGCAGATTGACGGCCTCTATCGACGTTTGGAATTTATGGAGTTAACGGATGTTCTCATCGCCGAATTCGGCATCGCGGAAACAAGCTCCCTGGAGACCTCAGGCGGGATCTAGGAATTGATTCAGGCTGATGCTCCGAGTGTGACCTGACCCGCGTAGCGAGGCCTGCTTTTGATCCGCGCACCTACAGGGCCTGGCTCTCAGAGAACCTGCCGGCGTGGGGGGAACTCTCAACCCGCAACGTGGAGGGGTTGGGGGTATTCGCAAGACTTTCGGCGTCCTCAACTAGGGGCTCGAAGCTGCTTGCAGCCTGTCGAAGTCTGAAGCCTGTAGCAACGAAGTTGTGGCCCACACCCCACACCGAGCAGAGCTCCAGTACCAGAAGTGAGAGGCTAGAGTGGCCTAGAGTCGAGTCCAGACAGGCCCGGCATCTCGTGTTGTGTATCAGCGATCTTGTCTTGCCCCGTCCCAATTAAGAGTGCTCACTCTTCGGAGATTCCGGTGACCGAGGGTGGAGGCCTTGCTCACGGACTTGCTTTCGCAACTTGCATAAAACATGGACTCCGCTTGAGAGAACAGCTGCTTTTGGCTTTTTCCTGTGTATATGCAACGTGATCATGATTTGCAGCTGTGAAAGATTTCTGACTGAGGTCCCTCGCCACGGGTTGTGGTGAGGAGAACTTGTCCGTCAGGAGTTCGGTATTCTGGCTTTCGCAGTGGCTGAAGCAAAAGAAGCTTGTACAGTGCTTACATGATGTATGTTGCGCTCCAGCTTTGGACCTCGCTGGATGATTATTTTGTGGCACGCAGGCATCTGCCGATGCCGTCTTCCTTGCCATGTACACCTGCGCTGCGAAGGCTTGCCGCTCGTTGTGCTCATAAAGCAGGGCAGAATATCCCAAGCTCCTGTAGCAGCTCGATTCGGCGCGATAGTGCTCTGTTTGAGGGTTATGCAGCAGTTATGCACTTTACGACGCCTGCGAGCACTGCAATCAGTGAATCAGACTTGCGCCGGAGCCAGACGCCGTGTGGTCATCACCCAACAATGTGCGCGGCAGTTTCCCCCTCCGCAACATGGAACCACAATGGCTGCTCGTAGTCTTTGAAAGTCCCCCGACAGCCTTGGAATGCACATGGCTCACAACGCCTGCCGCAACGTGGGAACAGGGCAGTCTCGAACAACTGGATAAACGTCAGCTGGTAAAGGTGCGCGCTAGGGATACTGAGCATTGCATCCAAAGCTTTGGCCAGTCCGGAGGGCCAGGGCAAACATGTTCCGGGACTGCTCTGAGCACGACGATTGGAAAGGCGGGTGTCGACATCGGCATAGATGCTTGGCCGGCGACGTTTCTCAGCAAGGCTGGAGGTTTTTGTTGAGCTTTTGAAAACATATGTGTGTGTTGTGTGATTGTGTGTGTATGTGTGCGTGATCGTGTTTTCTCGTGCGTGTCACTGCGCGGAATGAACAGCTGGGCATTCGCATCCAGATCTCAGGCGCGTGCAGGTGTTAGGCGCGCTGTTTGTCAGGCTGTTCAAACCTGCCATCGCCACCAGCTGGATCAAGCAGAGCATGGTAGCTGTTCGCCATCGCAGACCAACCTGGAGACTGAGCAATCGCCACGGCTGTTGTTTGGCAATGTACTGCGTGTAAGACTTTAAGAGGTGCCAGCTTCAATGCCTCCGATGAGAGAACGCATTGACCCACACATGTCACGCAGACTACCGCAAACAACACGAACAGGGTGGCCACAGCGCAGAGTCTGCATTCAATGCGGGGCGTGTCTGTGTCCCTTGCTGTAGCATGGCTTCACAGCGCAGATTCTGCCTGGGGCCCTGTGACCAGACGTTCGAAGCGCGGTTTAAGCGAGATCACTTCCGCTTCGTGCACGGCCTCTAAGGCCCTGGCTTCGGAAGCACGAGCCGCACAAGGCTGGCAAAGCTGGCAGGAGTGGGGCTCTCATCAGCGTGCCCTCTCCCAGCGCAAAATCCTTCCTCGTGCTGCCGAGGCCATGTCTCCAATCCTTCCCCCAGTCTCGCTCAGAGCTGCCCAGCTTGCTGAACTGCGCGGCACGCAGATCCACAAGTTTGATCCGGCTCCGTGCAAAGAGTCGCAGCAGTGTCGCAGCAAAGGCCTGGGATTGGTTGGCGAAGCCGTGGAGGCCTGTCGCAACTTCGCCATGGCATCAAAGCGTCGAAGAATCAAAGCGCCGCAAGGTCGGCGTTCAGGCCGGCGTTCACGCTCACCACTTTTTGTCAAATTGGAGTGGCAAACGACAGAGCCCAAATGCTCATGGCCCGCGGGTGAGTGTAGAGGCTCAGAAGCTCAGAAGCTCAGGCCTGCGTCTCGTCGACCTTTGGGGTCAGCAGGCATGTGCCGGTAGCTTCCGCTCTCCTCAGATCTTCTCAGATCTGCTCAGATCTGCTCAGATCTGCTCAGTCTGCTGAGCAGAAGGCGGCAGCAGACAACCTCTTCTACGTCGACATAGCCAACGTGCACGGCACCGATGCCAAGAAGCCCTGTCCTCCGAGTCCCGAAGATCTCTGTCGTCGCTGTCGGGGCGTTGAAAAAAACTTGAAGGCAGCACCGACTTCAGTGCGAAAGGCGACTCGAAGAGTCCAGCCGACCTGTGATGCTGACACCTCAAGTCTCGTGATACTGTCGTCGCAGTGCCTGCCAGGTCCTTGCGTGCGGACCCCAGTCCCGGCTCATCCAACTTGTAGTCCACCTGCCATCACAGAGATCTCTTGTCGAAAGTGTTCAGGCACAGTTCATCTAGCTCCTAGCTGGGGCTCCAGGATTACTGTGAGACTGCAGGCTCAGGCCGTGCCGAGATCCTGAACTTCGTCCTGGCCTCAGGTTTGACAGGCATTGCAGATGTTGCCTTGGGGCGTTTGAGCCTCGGGTTTGCAGCATCCTCAAGCGAGGTTCATCGAGGTAGTGGGGCAACTGGGGTAACTGTGGGCATCCAGTTTTGGGTTTGTGGCCGACCCCTTCTCATCAGGTCCTGAAGGATTTTCTGGAGATTTGCAAAGGTCTGCAAGGATCTTGCCGACCAAACATGTTCCACGGTCCCAAAAGCCGCTCACTCCGAAGCGGAAAGATTCCCATGCATGGGATGGCGTGCGACACGTGTCTCCGCAGTCAGGTGGGTGGGTTTCGTGTAGCAGAAGATTTATCAGACTTTGCTCACTCGTACCGGGTGGTGTGCTTCTGCTGAAAAGCTTCCGTTCCCAGGACAGTGCCTACGCAGCTTCGCAGATCGCGGACGGGGAGCTGGACTTTGCCGTGGCCACAGGCAGTGCCATTTGCCACGTGGCACGGGTTGCGTTAGACAGAATGATTATCTGTCACTGCGATTGCCATTTTTGAGTTTTTTTCCGAAAATCTGCAAAGAGACACGGCTTGTCACCGGCACTGTACCACTGTGTCTTGTGACCGGCAGTCTTTCAACATGCCAGGTGTAAATCTGCTTTCTTCATCGGTCCAGTTTCGACTGCGCAGCCGCCAGGTTGCCTAAACGGGCGCCGAGAGTCAGAAATGTATGTTCTGGCGTGAAAGCATATCGTGTTCAAGAGCAAATGTGGCTAACATGGTTAGAGCCTCCTCCAGCGCACCTTCCTTTTGCCAGACCTCCGACTGCTGTGACCTATGATGCCACACAGGTCAACGGTCTGTAGTTCCCCTAGAAGATTCAGCCAAATGCTTGGTCAACCAAGCAGCATCTGGCAGCTAGTTTGATTAAACGGGCACTGCCGGTAAGGTTGGGAAGCTTGCCGGTGCAAATCGGCTAGCGGCTAGCTTCGGTAAATTGCTTATTGTAACTTCGATTTCGAGATGATGGCGCAATTCTGTGATGTTGTTGTCATCAGTGCGGATGATGCCGATGTGCCTGCATCATAAGAAACTTCACACAATGAATGCTCGGAATCAGCTTGCTACGCATCCAAGCGCTCAAGGTTTCTGACACCCAAGGCCGGATCAGGCTCTTGTCGAGAGCTCGCCCCCTCCTTGAGGCAATTCCGACCTAGCTCCCAACTGCGTTTGCTTGCCCGCGAAGCTCCAGAGCGAGGACTCCTGTCGGAAGTCCAGGGTCCGTCCTGTCCTCCGTCAAATTCCTCAACAGCATCCAGTCTCCCCGAGTCGACGTTCAAAGCACTCATTCTGCGGCCTTCATGCTCAAAAGCCTCGGCGACGAAGAGAAAGACCTGTTTCCAAAACGAGCCAGTGATTTGGCATCATGCTCTCTCGCAGTCCCCAAAGCTATCTGGGATGACGTGCAGATCTTAGGCTCCAGCGGCAGTTTCTCCTACACTGCCGGTCTACACCCTCGACTTGGGTGACGATCTACTTACACCCAAATTTTCGGGCAAGCGCACGTCAATCGAAGGCCTCCACTTGCGTAGTCGTTCTTGGGGGCCATTCCCCAGATTGAGAGTCCTTCCTTTGCATCCTTCCGCTGGTGATTCAAAAGAACCTTTTGTACTACTCCCACACGGGGGGTTACTGTGTATGTACACGCCTAATCTGCAGGGGGCACAGCATGTCGATGAGATTGCCAAATCCACAAGTCACATGGGAATGTCCAGCTGACGACCTTCTTGCACAGTAGCTGTGAGCTAGGCACCCCTCATCAGCAAATCCTTGCATTGTCATGCTTTTCTTAAGCCTGTGGGTTGTTCAACTGTGTCTGTGTTTCGGCTTGCATGTGCGAGGCGCTGGTGAGCTAGTGCACAGGCGGGCAGCTGCATGATTGCGCTCTGAGGTTTACCTCGATGCACGACATGACTTTGCCGGTGTGGTGGCAGACATACATGCCGTGGGCCACAGACGCATGAAAGGGGCGGGATGCATTCAGGCTTGACTTTTCGCATAGGGATTCGCAGATCTTGGGATACCAGCCACGGACGCAATCATTCGGGACAGAACGCAACTTCTGCTGTGTTGGGTGTTCTCAGTAAGAAGCAGTTGCACGCGATTGACCAGCGTTTCTTTGTTTCCTGCTCCTGCTGTTGTCTCTGGTTTGAAAGGTGATCATCAGTTTGTCGAACGGAGTCAACCTCTGTGCTTCCAACATGGTTGTTTGATCATGGTGGGCAAGATGCAACAAGTCTTTGATCGACAGGACAGAGTTGTGGCCAACAGTAGGCAACCCGAGTACTTTTCCAAGGCCTGGTGGCCAAAGGTGCGCACTGGAGGGATCTTTGCCGGTTGGAGCCTTAAAAGGTTTCGGAGCTTTCTGTGCCTCCCAGGCAAACATCCATGCCAGGCCATGACTTCGTGGACGGAGAGTTTCCAGAAGGCGATTTCTTTTGGCTTGCGGCCTTGCAAGCGGCACGTGCCCCGGTCATGGAACGGGAAAGCCTCCAAAGTGTCAACAATGCTTTCGAACAGGTCTTGCCTGGCGTCGATGGCTCAACCTTCATCGTGCGTCAACGCCTCGGCCCGGCCAAGATCATCTTTCAGGGGGCTGCATGGGCCTGTGGGCCATGAGCCTAAGTCCTACCGTGATCGTCGAGCTGCCCTATGAGGCGAGGTCAACCGCTACCCCTCCTTCTTCATCTTGAAGTCCGAATCCATCAGCAGCACCTGACTCAAAGAGAAGGGGTGGGGCACTTCAGCTACTTGTTCTAGCCTGTGTCGGCGTGACGAGGCTTGCAACCCTTGCAAGTTCCCACCGAGCGGAAAGTGCGGGAGCTCTATGCTGACAGGCGATGTGTAGAGCAGCGGAGCAGAATGCGCCAAGCCGAAACGATTGTAATTCTGTAAGGAGCAGGTACTTCAAGCTGTGGGTGGAAGACAAGTCAAAGAGCCGATTCCCTGGGCCCAGCTCCAAGCGCTCCCACACGCCGTCGCTTCGCTGGGATCGGAAGGTCCAAGCGCGAAAAACTTCGAAGCTGCTTGCAATGCTGCATGCAGTCCGGGGCTCTATTTGGACTCAGACTCATCGGGTTGGAAGTTGCACGGACCACTCTGGATATCGAGGTAGGGACTGCTCCGAGCGGGTGGCGCAGTTCACTCCCACACGCGACTTGTCGGGAACTGTAGCAGAGCTTGAGCGACAGAGAGCCGTGCTCTGCGAGGAACCTCAGCTTCCACTCTACGACCCTTCGCTTGCGGACAGGCTCGGCTTGTTTCCGAGGGAGGGGAGTTATGCCTGAGATATGCAATTGCCATCGGTGTAGTTCGTTTGTCAGGGGCAGGATACGTGTGCAGCCGAAGTGGCGGTGGATGTGCAGCTCTGAGCCTTTGAGCATTGCCACCGCCTAGTCTTGTCTGTGGGAGTGCCGCAGGTCACTGCATACAAGCAAGTGTGTCTCGAGAGATGTGCCGTAAGAAGCTCGGGCATTGCAAGCTTCTCCCAGCGCCTGGTAGCGCCGAGAATCCAGCGAAGCGCTTGTCGGCTCAACGAGGTCACGTGCCAGCAAAGACTGGAGCTCTTTGCAGCTCACGGAGTTCTTGTCTCAGTCCGTGAAAGAAGTGGAACATGCTTGCATACATTGTCAATGCCTTGGCAACAATGGAGTCATGGGCTGAGGATCAAATCCAAGCTGCTGTGAGAGAACAAAAAAGGGCCTTGGGTGCTTAGCATTGTTGCTGGTGTTGAGACTGGCAACCTGGTAGGTTTGCATGCCCCGCTCGTCATGCCCATCATGCCGTCTCGCCATGATCACACGCTGTCGAAGAGCAGTATGTGACATGTCTGACACAGCACTGAAAACGACGATGCAGCTACGGTGGGGTATGGGAAAAAACATCACTGTCATCTCCACGTTGGCATTAGCTGCCTCAGCGGAAGGAGTCCGGTCCGGGCGTTTGAACCCACGGAAAGGCGGCGAGTTTGATCGAAGTCGTTGCCTGGCAAGGCAAACGTCGAATCGGAAGGTTGGCGAGCCGAGCGGCCTAAGGCAGAGGTTGCATCGGGTTTTGGGCCTGGCCCTGAATCACAGCGGGAGCACTCCGGTCGAGGTGGCGGCAGATCGGCAGAAGGAGCGAAGATACAATGCGGCGATGCGGTCGGGTCCGTCTCCGGTGTCACCTGCACGGCGCTGGCCGCCATCAAGATCATCGGCGGTCACTTCGTCTTTCGCACATCCCGAAACATCTCGCTTGATTGCGCCTGCTTTCTGCCCACGGGTCGATCGAGATGATGATTACGAAGATGACAGTCGACCAGATCTGACGGAACATCAAGTGCAAACCCATGCCACCATCGATTTTACTTAACAGCTTGTGCAGAATATTGTGCGCATGCAGCATGCATTCCGGGAAACATATCGAGTGATGGACATGTTCATAGGCATTGTTGCGCTCATTAGCGGCTCATTTGCTGGGCAGGCCAGTGTTCCTGGCCTCAAGGCTGAGGACGCTGTGACAGTTCCCTGGATTGCACTGGACATCTTTCTCAAGAGTTTCGTTTCGGAGACTGCTTTAAGGCAGCATTGGCTGGCATCCATCATTCGGCCGGACGCCGAGCAAAGAAGTGCCTGGGTTCTTGCAATGCTGTCTTCTTTGCGCTGAGGTGGTGAGCCGGGATGAGAGCAAGAGGGTCGTAGAGGCCTACGTTTCTGCCACGTCGCACGGATGCAAGATGCATGGCAGTGGCTTGAGTAGGGCTGAGTAGGGCTCGAGTCGCCCAAGTTCTGGCTCTCTGGCCCGCTCAACCCCGAGAGTAGGTATACGAGAGAGCTCCATCTACAAGTTTAGGCTTGCGGTCCGTAAATTGTGTGAAGTTGTGACCTGCAGATGGTGTGTCTGCATTCAGCCACTTAGTCCTGAGACCAAGGTGGGGCGAGGAAAAGAGCTTGTCCGACGAAGACAACGTCGCCTTCGATGGGTGCGCAGCTTTGCCATGCCGGACAGATAAGTGCGAGGAATAACATGGAATTCGGCTAGCACAACCTTCTGTGTGCCTGCCAGGGTGATGATTTCGACATCGCCCCAACATGCCAGCATACAGTTGCTCAGCTTCTACTGATCTCGCTTTTGTTTTGGCTGAGATTGACGATTCCGAGGTATTGCTTAGGCCCGCACCCCGGCATGAAGGCGGCAGGTGTGTCGGTTCCCGATGAGACGGAAGCTGAGGTGTCCTGTGGGGATACGCGGTCAGAGGCTCGTCCGATTTGAGGGACTCAATGGGTGCCAGTTTGCATCGCCTCTGAGAGGCATGGTTAAACGGCTGGCCCTTGATCGCACCTTGGACACTGTCCCAGAGGCTCCAAAAGGGGGGGACCACATCAGCTTGCACAACAACAGTGCGAACACATGGCACTTGCAGGCACTGGCTACACAGAAGCAGCAGCTGGAGCGCGCTCTGGAGTTTCACCCAGAACGGCTTTGAAAGCTGTGGTCCGCGTTTCACCACCTGCATCGGACTCGTGCTTTTGCAGAGGCCATTGGGGATCCGGATCCCAGCCCCACCAACAGCTCGCTGCCAGGCCCGCTCAGGCTTCCATCCAGCTGGTAAGCTTTTCGGGGCCTGTGGTCAGGCACGGGGAGGTCGAGCTTTCTTCAGTATGCCAGCGACTTCTTCTCCCATAGCGACTGGGCAGCTGCGGGGCCGCAGAGCATAACAGGGCCTCTGCCAGTCTGCGCCTGCGTCTCTGAGCGCCTCTGAGGCTCTGTGCCAGCCTGTGAGTGGGGCCGTACACGTGATCGAAGCGGAGCTTCAGGCACAAGTGGCATCCATCTCTCCTTGTCTTTCTCTCGGATTAATCCTGGTGTCAGGAGGCCATGCACGCGATGGCCATCCTCGCAAGCCTGGAGTCGCAAGACTTTGCTCGGAGCTTTTTGATCGGCCCACGTTGCCGCGGACTTTCGCTGCGGCTTGGCCATGGCCAAGGACGAAGACTTCGAGGTCGTCTCGGGTTCCGAAGAGGTGCCCGCAGAGAAGTGAGTGGTGAATAGACATTGAGTAATCAGCAACATTCGGCAATCAAGGCCAGACATCTGCGAACAGTTGCGCAGCATGGCAGGACTTTCAGAATGATTTCCGAATCGATGCGGTGCAAGCCTCGTTTCAACGCTTCGGATGCCAGCTTTAGTGATGCGACTGCAAGTGAGGACTTGTGAGACTTGTTGTGCGTTGTGTAGGTGTTGCTGGATCAGGCAGAGTGGAAGGCTGGGCATTGCTCCGCCGAGCAGCAAACAAATGGGCTGTGCAGAAGTCCCGGCTGTTTCGGCCAGGGTTTCCAATACCGGGCGATCGTCTATGGCTGCCTACTAGCAGATGCAGAGGTCAGTCCCTGCATAATTTACGGGCCAGTGTCATGCCGCGAAGCTAGTCAGCACTTCGGCCCTGTGCTTTTCGGCCTACGTTAGCCAGCAACAGGTCTACGAAACCTCCGTAGACTCAGACAGCCGTTCAATCTGTTGCAAAGGGGACGGATTTAAGTTGTGGCATGTGAGCTGCTGGAAAGATCTGCAACACCGTCGCAGTTTCAGTGCAGGTATCTAAATCCAAAATCGCTGAATTGAATATTCGAAGGGGTCCCTAAAGCCTTGAGGGGCGTGTGGGGGAGGACCCCGGAGGGATTCGGTGTTGGGCGGGGTGTGTCTTTTAGGGGGTGTCATGAAGGTAAAGGCCTCGGTTCTTACATGTTCAAAAGTTTAAGGTATTGGTCCTGCTTCACAAGTGTGAGGCCTAGGTTCTTTCCCAAGACACAGCCTGTGTCTGCGTTCAGTGGGCGTACCTACTGTTCCCGGGTGCTTTGGGGTTAAGGCCTTAATGCCAGCAGATGAGGTTTTGGGTTTAGTTTAGGGTCAAAAAACTAAATCGGCTAAAGTAAAAGGGTTTAGTGTTAGTGCAGACCTTGCACAGTGTTGAAGCCTGACCACGATCCAGATATGCCGTACATGCAGGTACACTTCTGAATTTGCAGGCATTCGTACGCATGATTGTACACATGCCTTCGCCTCCAACCGGAGTGCGCGCATGTGCCGACGAGGTTGTGAGTGTAGGCACCGCCACAAACAAAGTGCAGGGCATCTTGGACACTCACGTTGGGCCGCTTCCGCGAAGCCAGCGCTCTGCCTCTCGGACGCTGTACTTGGTGCAAGGGCGGGGTGGGGGACCAGGGAATTGTTGAATCCACGCAGCTCCGGCCAGTGGGTCAAGACCCTCGTGCAGACCAACGCCCTATCCGATGTGCGACCAGATCAGAGTCGACGGGTTTTCGGCTCAGATGCCAACACGGTTTACTTCGATCGATGTGACATGCTCCTATTCCAGGTGGCTGCTGGCATCTTGGCACCGATCCAACGTGTCGCCTGCGGCTGAGGAACACGCGGGCACACGTGGCACAAGAGTTCCAGTGGCGCCATGCCTCTTCCGAAGGCCAAAGTCCTTCGTGAGCGAGTGCTCACCACCAAGCTCAGGGAAGCACGCCGGAGCGGAAAGCCTACACCAGTTTTTCTGACGGTTCTGACATGTGCTCTGTTTACGAGATGGTTCTTAAAGGCTGTTGTACTTGTAGCTGAGAGCAACTGCATTGATGAGGCCTCACCGAACTGTTGGAGACCAGTGCGGCCTCAGCCGCGGCGGCCTCCGTAGCCGCCGCCGCGGCCGCAGATCAGGTCCTGTTTGTGCTTGCGCAGTATGGCTGTAGAGACGTGGGAGTTGCTCTCCTCAGCAGGAGCCCGGAAAAGAAGCCGACCCTGAGCTCGGTCGCTCCTGAGCGCCATGTGCATCGCGGACCGGATCGCGCTGAGCGAATCGCATGGCTCCACAAGTGAGCCCAAAGAGCAAGACCGGAAAAGCGTGTGCAGTATCGGTTCCCCATATCCACAAAAGTTCGAGAGCTCAGACAAAGGTTGCGGAGTCGAGAACCAAGAGACAGGTCAGAGGAAGACACCACTGACCTTGAAAGTCCTCCTAGTATTAGTGCTTGTGCTAGCTGCCTGTGCTTGGCCGGCGCGACAAGAATAGGTTGTTTCAGTGCAAAGCGGCCTGGTTGTCATTGTAGACCCGATTCGCCGGGAATTAGCTGGAAAGTTGGGCAGATGGGCTCTGAAACGTGTCAATGTGGCATCGTTGCGCAGGAAGAGATCGAGGAAATGGCTCGCGACGTCCGCGCCAGTTGCAAGATGGAGGAGCCCACCATGGAGGGCTTGCGCTGTGATTCCGACACATACGGCATAATTTGACGCATGGATTTGTCGGTTGGAGACCTTGGCCGCCTTGGCCCCAAGCTTTGGCTTTAGCAAGCTGGCCTTTTGGTGCCTTTCGGCTCTCAGCTGTCCGTACTCGAAGCCCGGAGCCTCCGCTGCTTGGCCAGGGCCGAAGAGCACGTTTTCCGTGCTCGTGCCGTGCGTGCTCTGGAGACGTTTCTTTTCTGTTCCTGGCAAGGGCACGGAGGGACACTTCTCGCTCTTGGACATGGCGCTTGCAACTCAGGTGACTGGCATTTCAGAGCGAGCCAGCCGTTTGTTCGGGCTGAGGCGGGACTACTATGCCTTGCTGGACATTCCCCGATCCGCAACAACCCGGCAAATTCGCTCGGGATACCAGTGGGCCGGGACCCCTCACGCTTTGTGCCTCACTGGCAGCTCGGCATTCCGGTACTAGCGGAGGCTGCGGCAAAGTGGCATCCACAGAAGAATCCCGGTGCGAAGGCCCACAAGACAAGCACTACCAAGGGAAGCCGTCTGCTGCTGAACACTTCACCAGGTAGAGGCGCAGTCGCGCTTCCGGGACATTGCAGAAGCTTACGATGTGCCTCTGCGTGCAAGTTCCTCCGTGAGAGTGGATGGAGACATTGGCAGCTTGTACATGCGATCAGTAAATGAAAGAACATGCAGTGCTCAGGTGCTAATAGATCCGTTGAGACGACAGCAGATGCAAGCTCAGACTTTGAGCAGTTAGTTAACGCGGTTCGTGCAGCTGCAAAGCATAATCACGTGAACTCGCGAAGGTTCGATGCCCATGGAGAGGTCGGCTTGAAGACTCTCGCACGCAAGTGGCAAGGGTTGAAGTCTCATCTTGAGGATTTGCCACTGCATAAGACAAACCGCGAGGAACCCGCCTCACGACGCAGATTTCGAGCCTTACCAGCTGCTCGGACTAGTTTGCAGCCATGGTGGCTGGCAAATGTGTGCGCGTGTGTGGCGTACCAGGTATGTGGGCGATCCCTTTGAGCTTTTCAATCAGTTCTTTTCCTCTGCCGACCCTCTGAGCGTGGCGTGCGCATCGCAGCGACAGCGCGAGCGCATCTGGTCTTACATCAGGTCGTGCTCACAAGATGTCTTTGCCAGGTACGAGCCGGAATTGGAAGACCTTCCAGTGCTGCCCTCGATGCCAAAGGACTTGGCCAAGATTCAGAGAGCCTGCACGTGCGCCAACATGAACCCTTGGCAGCTCTTGCAGCGCATCGAATTTCATGTTGCATTCGTGGAAGGAGTCGACGATCGAGATGGAGGCCTTTTGCAGACGGGATGTCGAGTGCTTGATCTCTACAGCTCCCGTCGCAGATCGAGTGCACCCTTAGCGAGCTCAAGGAGGGCAGCACCAGGTTCAGGACTTGGGTTGACAGCGTCAGCGCTGCGGCTGCGTAGTGCCAGGTGTGTGGTGGTAGAGCGAACCCGGCTGGGTCCGGGCTTCATTCCATACCAGGCCAGGGCCTACGGACTTTATACAACTTACACTAACAGACCTTTAATGGGCATACACATGCCTTGAAATTCTCGACTACTGAGGAGAAGAAGCCAGTGACGCTACCCATCAGACCGGGCTGGCAAGCCGGAATGAGGTCCAGTTGTGTTTTGGATGAACCACCACTCTGCTGGTATCATGACCAGCCGTAAAGTCGATTTCCTGATGTGAGGATCATTTTCAAGGGCGCTGGCAACCACAGTCATAAGGACAACCAGCCAGATACTTTGATTGGCTTGAGCTGCCTAGGGTTGGCAAGGTGTCTGCCAAAAGTAGTACGGCTTGTTTGTATCAAGGCCTGGAGACCTGGCTGTTCGCATCAGCCAGAAAGTCGAGCTGGCATGGTTTTGGAGAGACACTCCTGTCAGGTTCTGCCTGCACCACTGGACCTGTCACGCTGTTTGTACGGTTGACGCACTGAGTGGCTGCCACACCACCAGGGCATGCTCACGTGTTCTCAGCGAATCTGCTGTTGGGTATCTGTCAAGCAGCGGCACGCTGTACCACGACCAAGGGACAGCAAGAGCTATTCGGGCTGACCACTCGCTCGCGTCAGCAGTAGGAACAACAAGAACAAAAACTTATGATTGAGTGCTTGTGCAGATTAGCCAAGATCTCCCCACAGAGCATGAGTCGCGAAAGCTGATATCCATCGGCAACTGCGTTCCTCGCAATGGCTGTGCGAAGCTGAGCTTCTGTCGAGAGCGGTGGGCCTGCAGCGCTCCTGAGCATCTACCAATCTATGCCACGAATCAGCCTACCGACATGCACATACAGGAAGAGAGCAGGTTGCCACTTGCGCCATCGGTGCCCGCACAGGCATCATTGCTCTCGGAGGATCTGGACTCATACAGTGGCCAGCTCGGCACTCAGCCTCGCAAGGTATGATTCACACACGATGTCGAACTTCGTGGGAGCAGGTATGGGACACATGGTGCCATCCAGCGGCTGCAGTTCATCGCAACGCAGGCCAAATCTCACGCCCATCATGGCTAGACAGCATAGGTAGGAGCACGGTGTCTTCGAAATCGGGAGAAAACGTCTTGTTTCACCAACTTCTCGGCTTGGCCAAGACGCAGAAAGTCAATCTGAAGATCGATGCCCTGAAGCTGGTTTCTCAGACCACAGATGCGTCTGCCATGCATGCCTCCGATCGCTGTATCGAGGAACAGCCTCGATTCGTGATTAGTGATTAACGATGCCGCCCAAGCTTTGAGGCTGTGCTTGGATTTGATGAAGCGCACGACGAACTGCAAAGGGTGATGGGCTCAGCTGTTTCTGTCTTATGAGCACGCGCTTATGCCATTGTCTTTGAACTGGAAGTACCAAAAGCATCTCAAGGTATACGGAGGTGCATAACGGACTCAAGGACCCGTATTATTGCTGGTGCCATGTGCTACTTGCTGTTCCACCTGCCATGCCGCGCAGTTCAACTCGCACGCCCAGGAGTTGTTGGAAGGGAATGAGTCAGCGCTGCCGCCCTATGACCAAGTCTGGGTGCCTCCTGCAAACGTTGCACTTTGGCTTCAGTCCAGCTATGGTCACATTTTGCACGCGGCAGGTTGAAGCTACGCAGAAGCAGAACGGAATCCTGAAGGAGAGCTGCAGGGTCTTCGGTAAAGCGCAGGTCAAGCAGGACTTTCAAAGGCCCGTCTGCTGCAGGACCTCTACGAGCAGGACCTGAGTCAGGTGCAGCCACGCTTTTCGAAGCTGAACAAGTCACTCGCTCCGGAACCTGGGCGAGGCCAAAGCGTCTCAGATGAAGGAGAACATCCGACAGCCACGGCCTTTGACTTTGCTCGACTTTTTCGTACCTAAGTATGCTGACCAAGGTGCTACCATCAGCTCACCAACCTGTGCCTTGAACAGGGCGACTACCCGACCGCCGGGGCCAAGCAGTTGCCATATCAGTGTTTCGGTACTTGAGCAATGGCCTGGAACCCAGGCTGAGAAATACTTGGCGAGGAGCCGTGAGTTCTGCACAGAACCGCAGGCAGCGTTGTTCACACATCCGCATCCCACAACCGTGGCAAACACGGCACGCGTGACTTTGTCGGTGCAGTTTCGACTCACCCGGGACTTGAATCGGTCTGTGTAAGTGACTGGATCTCAGTTGCGACGGTGCAGGCCGTGTTTGCTACCTGTATGACCATCATCAGACTGCGAGCTTTGCAGCAAGGACCTAAGACAAGACGCCTGCAAGTCTTGCCAGCCTTCCCGTGAACGGAACCTTGACTTAGGCGCCAGTATTCTGATATCCAGAATTTCACCAGCAAAGCCCACCACACTCCATTCAAGGCAGCTGCTCTTGGATGTAGATTGAATCAGTTTGCGAAAGACGACCTTCGGTGACAGGATGAAGCCAGCCAATCAAGAATTTTTGCATCATATGGTCTGTGCTGGCCTCGGCCCGTCTTCACCGAGTCTCAACATGAGCGTGGAAGTTGGGCGTCCCAGAGGTCGCCTTGCTCCAGCCAAGGTACAACATGACAACTGGCAAGTACAAAGATGCCGCCACGAGCTTCTCGCAGGTGAAACCGCAGGACACGGTTCGCAACTGCTAAGCCTGCAGAATCCCACTTACCGGTGGTTAACGGCAGACCCGTTTCGGATTGGCGACTGCACCAACTCCATCGATGCAATGCAAACGGCAGACCGCCACTTCGACAGGCACACGTTTGCAGGTCCGAGGAAGGAGACGTTCGAGGAAGAAGACGCTCACGAATTACTTGCGAAAAACCGAACCACATATCGGTCATATCGGCGAGCGTGGCGGCATCCGAATGTTCGACTGTTCTTGGCTTTGGGATGCTTTTTTCTTCGGAAGGTGAGCTTCTTGTCTGATGGCGGTACCGCATGAAACAGAAGCACTGAAGAAAGTTGGCCAGAGCAAGCGGAGTGGGATCGCAGCTTTCGCTCTCGTGACCGCACGGTCATGCGGTGGTGGGCCCGCGCCGAAGGGCAGTGGCAGGGCCGAAGGCCGGGAGGTGCCTCCCGGGTGGGCTGAGGCCTCGGGCCGTGGTGTTTCGCTCACCAGACTGGTTTCCCGTGCGCAAATATGGCCATTCCTGTCAGCTATCACCAATACGTGCATATTGCATCTAGCTCAATGTTGCGAAGCTTTCATGCACCTTCGAAGATGTGTTTGTGAAGTGACATGTGTGAAGACTGTGAAGGCGAAGCATCAGCAACAAACCTCCGCAATTTGTGTTGCCTCTATCGCTTAGATGCTCGGATGTCTAGTTGCAGTTCCGTAAGAGCCTTTTGGTCAACCAGCACCTCCCAGCGTAGCTTTGCTTGAAGCCAGCCTGCACGAACAAGCACCGTACAAGGGTTCTGTCATGTGGCGGTTTGAAACGAAATGGCAGCAAGAGAGCAGACATGGCCAGAGATATCAGAACTCGCTAGCAATGGCCCATAGTCCGTGTGCAGATGTGTCGCAGCGCAACGAAGGATCTGGGCAGTTCCTTCTCAGACATTCTCAGCCCTCAAGATGCAGAGCGCTCTGAAGTCCTGGCATGCCGAGCAAGCTAAACTGTGTTTCCCTGAAGCCTTAAGGTCGCTCTGTACGGAGTGCTCTGTGGCCTGGGCTCACTGGATCGAGCAGAGGCACGGGCAGAAGTGCCGCGCCGTTGCCAAACACCATAGAGTCCAAAGGTGCAAAGCAAGCTGCTGGATTCGCCGACCTTCCGGGAATGCCTGGACATGGCTCCGTCGAGCTCTGAGATGAGAGGGGCAGGGGAACGGGTGTGATGCGTGAGCTGTGGAACTCATCGAGTTCGAGATGCAGCCTGTTGCACCTGCCCGGATGCAATGTAAAGACAAGACATTGACAGCTCTGTGGACATGCATTCACATCCGTTCACACTCAAAAGAGTATATGTAATCGCCTGGACCGGAAAGCCCGTGAGTGGAGCTTCTGCACTCTGCCGTCTTCATCTGAGGCAGCTTCGTGATCTAGCCATCGACTTCTGCAGCTGCAGGCTGGTGCTGGGAAAACCCAGGAAAACCGTGCTGGACAAAACTGCCTGTACAGAGCAAGGCTGTCAGAACCTGGAAAACAAGCTGTACAGCAGCATTTTGGTTGCAGAACCCTAGACATGACGTGTAGGTATGCAGCTTGCTTGGCTTCTCTGGACCGGTTGAAGGACTTGTGTTGCGAAGGAGCGCTCCGGCAGCATGTTTCAAGCACACCAGGAGCCACTGTCGCTGGATGTGCACCTGAGTGGCCAAGTGGTCCAAGACTGAGACCAGCCTATGCCATATGCAATGCAAGAAGCGGCGTGTCTTGGTCAAACTAAACATATCATATCGAAGTCTCTGCGCAAGGCCAACCTTTGTGAACAGATCCGGAGCAAAGGCATCTTTTGAACGAGACTGTGCATGGAAGCAGCAGGTATTGCAGTCTGCACGGAGGTATTGTTCAGTACTTCGCCCCCTTCCTCTCCGTGTCTCTCCACCGCATGGCGGAAGCCTTCAACACCGATGTGGAGTCAATGCAGAGGGAGGTCGGGCTCTCACGCCGGTATTCACGGGGAAAGGATTCGTCATCCCTCGGTAGAATTGCCTTAGGTTGCGAAACTCATCGGGCAGCGTCAGTTGGATGCAAAGATCGATTCGCAAAGGACAGTCGCATGCCCCGGGGGTTGTGCCAGCAGCTTTGTAGCTGCTAGAGTAGCTAGAGCTCGGCACTTGCACCAGGAAGATCCTTCATGCAAGCCATGCCGATCAAAGACGCTCAACGTGCACAGCCTCACGTGAATCATGTACGCGTCTTCGGATTGAATGCGTCTTGAAGGTACAACAATGCCCTGCGTGTCAGCAATGACTTTCTGGTCGTGAGCCCACTTTCACCTTCCACTTCCAGTATACTATGATGCAGTAGAAGCATTTCGCAGAGTGATGCGTCAGATTCCTTGCACTTTGGACTCAGGACAGTACGCATGCTCTCATCCTGCGCATGAACTTGCGACTGGGATGCATGGTGGAAATGCACAAGACCCACAGCTGCTAGCTTCTGCTGGCGTGATTTTGTCGTGGGTCTATCTTGGTAATCTGCCGTCTGTTCATCTATGTTCATGTGTTCTTGTGAAGTCCCCTAGGTTGAAGCATGACTTCGGCCCTGAACTCGGCTCGGCAGTCCGCTTTATGCACGGACAGCGGCAAGGGTATGCAGGGACTGAGCATGAGTTCTTTCCTGCAGAGGCATCTACCTGGTTAGACAGAAGAAGTGACGGCCGAACCGTGGCAGAAACATGTTGCGGAGTGCTGCAGCATGAACGCAGAAGAAAAAGGGCTTCGGGTCTCAGGCCACAAAGTTGAATTTCTTGCGCTACTCGTCAAATTGAGTCAAATTGGAACAGCTGGAACACCTGGTGATTGACCAATGGCAGGCGCAGCCTGCCTAAACATGTCTGAGCCGAGTGCTGTTTCACCGACATGCTGTTTTCACAGATATGTAACTCTCTATATTTCGGAGGCGTGTAGCAACCCACAGCGTCAGAATCATCGTTTCGGACTTGCGTGTTGTGTCGTGCTTAGCCTGTCAAACACTGAAAGGCTACAACAGAACAGGCCCTCTCAATTGAGGTGCCAGTAGTTCAATTCGTGTCTTTACTTATTGTCAGAGATGCACGAGAAAACGGTGAGATGCAGCAGAGGCTTGTAAGAGTTGTTTTTCCCTCTCGCCTTAGCATTCTTGGCCCACGCCCAGAGTCTTTGCAGGATGGTCGGGTCAACTTCGCGGACTTCGTGAACCTGCTAAAATGAAGCTTGCAGCTGATGAAGTTGTGCCGTGCAAGTCGGCAGCACCGGTATGCAGTCAGAACAGCGCGGTGTAAGTGAGCTTAATTCATTTGCACAGGTTTCACTACAAGGACAGTGCAGTGGTAGGATCGCGTTAAAAAGCATGACACAGGGCCCATACTTGCAAACCAGAGCACCCCTCAAACTCTAGACCCTCAACCTCAAGCTCTGATTAGACACCAAATGCTAAACCATGGCATCCTAACCCCTAAAGCCCTACCTAAATCTTGGCTTGAGTCGCGATGCTGGCCTGACAGCTTGGGGGCTCCAGGAAGTTTGATGACTCGTCTGTGACTCTGGTTCAAGCATGAGATGTGACAACCTATCATTTGCGGATGGGAGTTGAATGGCCAATAACACTCCCCCCCCCCCCGGCCGGAGGGCTCATGCCCGGCCCTGCATCATGCGACCTTCACATTCTGCACTGCAGACCGGTCACAGAAGAGTGCGTAGCAAGAGTGATTTCGACCTTGGATGCAGCACCATGGCGGCCACACTGCCACCCAGTCCAAGTTGCTGTTGTTCAAACAGCATCAGGCCAAGACGCTGCTGGATGATGCTATGTGGCTTTTTGGTTTCATAGACTGTGGCCTAGGCTGAAAGCTTCCGGGAAATCGCAGACGCTGCAGGTGGTGGAGCGATTGAGGTCGGGGTGCGTTTAGTGCGGAAGATGTCCTTGCTTGATCTTCAGTGGTGCGTGGTACGTTGTGGTATTGCAGGCAGAACGGTTTTCTAACTGATGCCAAGGTGGGATGGGCCGATGTGAAGCGCATGTGGGTTTCAAACCTGCAAGAGATCCTGGTGCACACTAGGAGTACACCGTCGCCATCAATGCAGTCGGGCGAGCCGATGCATGGCCTCAGGCCGGGTCTCAAGCTTCTGGAAAAACTCATTCCGTTGTGTCCAGGCGCTTGGCCTCCTTGGGGCCTTGCTTCAGAAAGGCGTTGCTTGGGCTATCCGCGACGCAACTCATCGCGCCTCCCAAGCGCCTTGCAGGTCTCCAAGCTAACGAGATTAGCTTCGGGACAGCGATCAACTCCGCTTGCGCCTCAGTTCGAGCCTGGTCACAAAATTCGACAAAGCTTCGTGTTGTGCAGGTGAAATCATGGATAACTGGTTTATCGCTGTTAGATGAGCTTGTGCGGCGAGGCCGCGCCTTGGTGATCCGCTCCATATGCGCTTACCCATGATCTGCAGGGCTGCCTTTGTCAGCAGCCCACGTGACTGTTCCGACCTTGGCTGCAAACAATTTCGTGCAATGGGTCTACACGTTTGCACATGTTTGCGTGTGGCTGAGAGGCACTGATACGAGTCTGCACTGGGTCCCTACAATGGACGAGGACAAGACTGCCCAGTGCTCACCGGGACCCAGGCTGACCCAAATTCTCCGTAGGAGTTTGCACCTCTACCAGGCGGCTCTGGTGCGGCAACTGTGCCTGTTTGACATATCACTGTCTCAGTTTGTGACTTCGTTCGTGAAGTCTTTCGGCTCACGCAAGTAGTAGAGATGCACATAATTATAAAGCCTGCCCACAAAGCATTGAAAGCCGTGTTTGAATCACATAGTTCACGGCAGAAATTGAAGTCAGATCCTATTCAAGCCTCAGTCTGTGAGTTGCTGGACATGTAGTGGTGAGCTGCTGAGTCTCCTTCCTGGGCACGCAGCGCGTGACACGGATGCATGGGGTGTGCCCACTTCTCCTGGAAGCACCCAGCAGTGGAAGGCAATATCGATGTCATGATTAGTCGATCCCACAGCTTAGAGGATGCAAACGCGGATTTCTTGGCTTCCTGGATATGCAACGTTTGTAGCAGGAGCGGCGTGCGCTCTTTCTACAAGCCTGGTTTGTCAGGATCTGCTGCACTGGACAAAGGCCGGCGAAGACTCCTCAGAGACGCGCTTGAGGTGGCCAGCTGTGTAGCAGCTGTCGCGGTTGCAGTTGCCATCCAGACGGAGACACAGTTGGCAAGCGAAGTTGTTTGGGCCGCGCAGCACTCCAAGCCCATCATACTTCTTTATGACTCGTCACTGCCCTTCGACATGCCGGCGTGGCAAGACAGCTTTCCGGAGCTCTTCCCTTCACATGTCGTGAGATATTATGGGAAGGGTCACGAAGCATGTGCCGACGAACTGATGCAAGCTATTGAATCAGTCAAGCTGGCCAGCTCGTCTCAGGCTGGTGGCAGGCAGAAGGCACCCAGCACGAGCGCCGCGAAGACGATGTCTGACAACGTGATGTCGGACCTGTCTGACAGCGGATCTGTGGAAGCACAAAGCTGCTTTTCTGATGAAGCGTGGCAGGCGGCGCTGGAGAGGATGCGGGAGTCGCAGCCCTCAGATTTGCCGAAGATTAGCTTCAAAGGGATTCTTCGAAATCGCGAACGATGGACCCTCAAGCAGAGTGCACGGAATGCCCCTTCACCATTTCTGGAGGGAGAGGTGCAAGAAGCCGTTCGCTACGTCATGCGAGCATTACCCAATGCTTCAGAAGAGGCAACCTTGGAGCTTCTTTGTGCCGGTGTTGGTGTCAGCGAGCGTGTGGTCTCGGCATCCTTGCGCGTTCTCTGTGTGCGAATGAGCGGAGTCACTGAGCCTCCTCAGCCCGACTTCGTGCAGGAGGTCTTTGCGTGGTCCCTTGCTGCACTGCACCGACACGTGGACAGCGTTGATGTGTGCACTTTTGGAATGGAGTGCCTGCAAATATCGTATGGCCTGCTGCAAAGTTCGGGTGCCAAGCCCATGAAAATCAGCAGCGTTGAGGCGGAGCACATAGTACGCGCAATTCGGAGCTTCCCATCATGCCGAGTCTTGCAGCGGAATGGCTTTTCGGTTCTCCTCCAACATCTCCGAAACCCGGACTCCTTCCGTGTGCAAGACAGCGCAGGATCCATTGCACTGCCGGGTGGCGGGCTGGCTCGCGTCCTCACGCGTGAAGGCGTCGCTGAGATGGCTTTGAAGGCGATGGACCCCGGAGACAGCGAGTTCCTTCGGGAAGTGTGCGCAGTATTACAAATCCTGGCTGGCTCATCTCGTCACGTAAAGGAGCAAGGAGCCCACTTGCCTCTCGTGTCTCCAGTTGGCCTGGCCTACTCTTTCGCGTGCTGCCTTTCTTCTGAAGACCGAGGTTGCTGTTCGGGACCATGACAACCTGGGTCCGCTTGCTGCAGCATCGTCCTTGGAAGCCATGCCGACGTCCATAGTCTGCAAGTGGACGGACATGGCCCAAGCCAAGGTCCAGTGGTGGTGAGTCCTTGACCGTCCTAGAGCTGTTGGGCGCTCAGGCTAGCCGAGTTTGCCAAGCCAGCGAGCCCTCGGCGGAGTGTGACTTGCAACTTCCGAGACTAGCTGCCCTTGCATCGGGCGATGATGATGGGCAGGCATGCTTTCTTTGGCCCTTCTGATTATCTTTGGGAGTTTTCGCACTTGGTCTGACGGAGAGGAAGCAGTTGGACAAGCCCAGGGCATTTTCGAGGTGCCTCTTGGTCAAACATGGTTGCTCAAAGCCGCCCGAGTCAACAGTTTAGGTCCAAGTTGTTCGTGCAGCTGTTCCTGCCAGTTCTTTGTGCTCTTGCTGGCAGTCGCTCTACGACTGCTTGAAGGGGCCGGAGCCGGAGCAGGTGCAGACCAGACAGGCCGCCGGAGACATGGATACCGGGGTGCAGAATGCGGCAGTTGCAGCAGTCCCACGTTGCTACAGGTCTTCACCCTTCTCTGCCTGTTGACATCCCGGCACAGTGAGAACGGCCCCAAGTCTTGTTGCATCTCGGTGTGCTTCGCATTGATGTGCGTGCCTCTTCGTGATTCGTGCTATGTAGTGACCTTGACGAGGAACAAGAAGCGGTGTTGCTCCACTCTGAATGCGGGATTGTTGCGTGAGGCTGGTTTGATTTTGACGAAGACAAGTTGTTGGTTACCTTTGTGTGCGAAGCTATGGCCACATGCTGCAGGCTGTGAGAACTTGCTGCTCTTGCCAGGAAAGCCCCGCGCCTTGGCGTCTGGAGTCAGATGCTTTCCCGGATGATACCTTCACTCGGAGCGATCCACGTAGCAAAACGTTGTGTGCAATGCAGAGGAAGTCCGCTTGGCTGCTGGTGGCATGCTTGTCAACATTTGCCTGAGCCTGATCACTAAAATTTTGCAGCACTGTTGCTCGTGCCGGCAGCCAGGCAGCGATCCATCGAACATTTCAACAGCTTGCGACTGAGTCACTCAGTAGCTCCTCAGACAGTGGGGCCTCTTACCGGATCTGACGCTGAAGGTCTCTTCAGTTGGTGCTCTGTCAGCGGCAGACGCCTTGCAGTCTGCCACTGGCCCGGCCGAACTGCAGCTGCATCCTCAGAGCAGGAAACCCCTCCATTTACCAGAAAGTGCCTTCTCGCTATTTCCGGCAGGCTGCAGCGCTGTGGCGCTGCTATCAGGCTAGGCTGCAAGACCGGGTCTGACCCTTTCCGAGGCGGGAATGTAGGCGTGTCAGTGCTGGTAAGGCATCTTGCCAAAAAAGGACGGGAATCCCTGCCACATTCCAGTGCCTGCCCCGGGTGTTGATGGGGATGGCAGGAAGCCACAGATACTGGTGGTTCTAAACGTTCAAAACTGCCGCTGCCTGTTGGCGACACAGCTGCACACCTGCAACTGCGACCGCAACCACAACCACAACAAACAACCACCAACAACAAAATCAACTGCAACTGCTAACTACTACTGCTGCTACTACTACTACTACTACTACTACTATCACTACTACGAAGTTACTACTACTACTACTACTACTACTACTACTACTACTACTACCACTACCACTACCACCACTACTACCACTACTACCACTACTACCACCACCCCCCTGCTGCTGCTGCTGCTGCTGCTGCTGCTGCTGCTGCTGCTGCTGCTGCTGCTGCTGCTGCTGCTGCTGCTCGTGCCCGTGCTCGTACTCGTACTCGTGGTGGTCATCGTCGTCGCAACAGGAGCAGTCGTACTTTGAAGCCCGAATCCAGAAGTTGTCATTTTTGCGAATTTGCTTTTTCTTATGGTGTTGGCACGTTGAAAGCAAGCTGCTGTCTCAATCGCCATCTTTTCGATCGTGCACGTTGTCCCACAGTTGAGGCAGGAGGCGCCAGTTCCTTAGGGGTGTCTCTTAGGTCTGAACTCCCTTCGATTCGCTGGGAATGTAGCGCTGCTCGCAAACACTCGGTCGGGTCAAAGCCGCTCCTGTTGATCCGCCGGGACTTTGGTTGCTCTCGAGTCTGACAGGTGACGGCAGCCAGTGGAAAACTGCGGCCCTGAGCCTTCATGTCTCAGTGTTAGTGCGGTGACGAAGAGGCCACCGTGACCCAGGCCGGACCAAGCAGTTCTGGCGATCCTTTTGCAGGCCGGGCGATTTTGCAGAGACAACGCAATTGTGAAACTAGCACCGCATTGCTTAGCTCATGTGTCGCTTCTGCAGCTCTCAGCCGGCTCCCCGCAGGGCTTTTTGCGATGCGCAAGAGCTCTCAGCCGATTGGGGGCCAGAAGGCAAGCCAGTCGAAAGCGGGTTGGTTCGGCGGTACATGTACAGAGACCTGATCTGCCAGGTTCGAGTCGCGGAAGCTGCGGCAGCCCCTTCGAGGTGCCGCTTCCGGAGGGAGAAGAATTCGAACACCCACCGCCCTTTTGATTCGGTCTTCTGCTCTGAGCACGGGCAATTTCTGAACTCTGGCGTTCGGGTCGGAAGCAAGTCACATCACCGGAATGACGCTAAGCCGCTGAAGTCTGTCCAACTCCCCGAAATCTGGAGACACTATCTAGGCCTCCGGACGAGCCGGACGAACGGGCACTGAGTGAAGAGTCGAGGCGCTGGGTGCGTAGGGCATAGGGAGATATAGGGAGGACAAGGCGCCCGGGGGCACATCAAGGCGCACATCAGTCTGCGAGGTCGGCGCATCGCCCGGAGGATCGACCGCGCGGACCTGGATGGTGCGAGCCCCCGTTGAGCGCGAAAAGCGAGTTTGGTTCCTGTTGCGTTTGGTAGGCAACGACTTCCACAGCACTCCAGCAGCGTTCCCAGTATCCGACGCAAAAGCTAGATGTTGGACGACTTCTCGTGCCTCACAAGGTTCATCCAAGAAGCGGAGCGACAGTCAGGAGCCGATGTCCCCCCGGGAAGCCGGAGCCACAGCACAACTGTTGCTTCACAATGCAGTCGAGCCAAGCTCTGGACGTCGCCAGGAACCTGAGAACTCAGCGTCGTGGGGGTTAGGACTGGCCCCGGCTGAAGCAGTGGCAACGGAAGTGACGATTAGCTTTCTACAGGCATGCAATCATGACAGGGCCGTGGGCTGGGGTTTTCTCTATTCTGTGTGGGAGCTTCGTGCCGAAGGAGAGTGGGCACCCAGTGGGCTTGCACCACCTCTCTCAAGCTATCCCGGGCTGAGTGAGGCCCTCATTCAGGACTTGATGCGCTGGCTTTGTTCCGGTTTTCATCAGCTTTCACCTGGCGTCCAGTCGCTGAATCAAGGCAAAGATCTTTGGATCGGGGGCAAAGGAGAAGAGCAGGAGCTCGTGCCTAAGAAGCTGAGTCGTGGTGATAACTCCCTGATGACGTGCACAGACACACGATGAGTGCCAAGGTTGGATGCCGAAGAAGTCGAAAAGGATGCTGACGAAGAGCTTGCTCTTCACTCAACTCCTAATCCCAGCAAAGATACGATCATGTGCATACTTCGTCTGTAAGCCGCTGTCACAGGTGTCGGTGCGGACTCAGGATCAATTGCACCAGGAAGCTCATGCCAATTCATACACGATGCCCCGTGTCCTACGCGGCACATATACGGTCAGGACGATACCGTCGAAGCTCAGGATCCCGGCCTCACGCGGGCTGCGAAGCAGGCAGCACGCTATCCGTAAGCCCATGATCCCTCAGGGGCCATGGCGGTCTGTGAACCTTCGGAGTCACCTGTCTCGAACAGGTGTCAAAAGGGCGGACGTTGCATCAAACCAAGCAGACTGTTGCATTTGTTTCCCACCCGGAAAAGAGCAGAGTGGTTTCCTGAATCCTGAATCTAGGCGCGCGCAGCTGGATGAACTCCGGGCGCAGGCTTCGGTCGTGTTCTGCATTTCCAAGCTCGTTCTCTCATTGGGAAGAGGCAACGTTGCACCTGTGAAAGGCTCCCTGCCCAAAACCTAAACCAACTGGGCCATCACCTCAGACTTGACGCTCGCATGGCACCCAACGTGACAGACTACCGGCAGACTGTCGGCAGGTGGTTCGGAAGACGGCCGTCAGGGTCGAGTGGCTTTGCACCAGGGCCTTCCAGCACTGTCGCCGAAGACCGGCGTGCGAGGCCAGTCTTTCAAAGCATTGCGGCCGATGCACTTTTGACCACTGGCTGCTCAGGGCGGTGGCCCGGGAAAATGATATGCTCGTTTCGCAGATGGCTCTCGATGCTTCACGACCGCCTTTGGAGAGAGGCAGCGGGGGTCAGCGTTCTACCGTTCCAGAGTCGACTTCTCTCGTGTACCGCCAGGCGAAGTCGAGATGGATTTTCCGGTCCCGGCAAACTCAGGGACGCTTGGAAAAGCGTGCGGCTCAGCAACTGAGGATTCATGGCCGTCGGCCCTCCAGAAGTGCTATCTGCTTGTCTTCCATGACAACTACGGAGAGTTACTACCAGTAGGAGCTAGTCGCTGCGAGACTACGAACCCTATGAAGTGAGACCCTGCCTGTGACAGTGGTAACCAGTTGTAAGGGTAGCAACTCAGGCCCGAAGCTGGTTCAGCCAAAGTTCAGCCGCCCAGACAAAGAGGGCCAGGTCCACAGAATCCCTTCGAACGAGAAGTTCAAGGTACCGAACGCCGCTACCGGTAGTATGAACGTGTCATGCAGAACTTGTCAAGAACCCGCAGTTCCTGTGCAGGTTTCATGTCTTCTCGAGCAGGGAGTTTGAAGACTGAGAGCTTCGTGCTAATGCACGCCGAGTCGACGGAACACGTGCGTCGTTTGGCCAGTCTCACCTTCCGTCACAGCTTACACGGCCAAAGACAGCAATTGGAAGCAGACTGAAGGTGTACTGGGTTTTCGCAATCGGTGCCGCGGAGAGGTCTTGATGGATCGCGGTCTGCAACCTGATGCGCAACTGCGGGGTGCTTCGCCCTCATGGATACCCGACCTACTGGCGCGCTTGCTCCCTTTGCTGTGTTGAGGTTCTTATCACCAGCCTGGGACGCAGCAGCAAGTGGGCAGAAGCCCTTTCGGTTCTACAGGACTTGCTTAAAGAACATCAAAGCCCCATTTTTTGCAAGTCTTGGCAAGAGGAGTCGATCTTCTCTTTGAGTACTCTTTGCTTCAACGCCGCCATTACGGCCTGTGAGAAAGGCCAGCAGTGGATGCAGGCGGGAACCCTCGCATTGCCGGCTCTGACTCCTCGAAAAAACTTTCTCGTCAGTGCCACAGGCCTTGGCAGTCCTGGATGCCCTGACAGCTGTCAGAGTTCCAGCAGACACTGTCTCCTACAGTGCCATGCCCAGAGAATTGTCGGGGGGTCTGAAGGACGCCTGTGGTCTGAGCTAAGGCGGGGCCATCAGTGCCTGTGAAAAGTGCCGGCAGTGGGAGCGTGCCGGGGGCCCCGGATTGAGACCCGTGCACTGTTGCGTGAGCATGCGAGAGCGGGGCTTCTGAGGCTCTGGCTTTACTGGGCCAGTTGCAGAGGCACATCTGCATCGCCTTCTTCGCGATGCTTGTTTCTGCGTCTGAGGTGCCAGCTGGTTCCTGACACGATCGCCTGCAGTGCAGCCATCAGTGCGTGCGGGACGCAGAATCGGAGTTGAGGTCAACTGAGCATTCGACTTGCACTCTTCAGTTGCGAGAAAAGCGGTCGTTGGCAACAGGCCTCACTTTGAATGTTCTGAGCTTCTGCGAGCCTTGGTGGGTGTAATTATTGAAGAGGCCCTGTCCGTTTTGAGCACGATGCTGGAAGAACGGGCCCGCACAGTCGGCTTCTCAACTCAATGCAGCAGTCTTCGCTCGACTTGCCTGCGTGTCCAGGACCTGGTCATCTTCAGTGCTGCCATCAGTGCCTGCGAGAAAGGTCGGATGTCATGCGTGGCCATGCAATCGCACGTCGTCCTTGTAATTTAAGCCTGTGGGGCAGCAAAGAGCCAGTCGCTGTGGCAAGGGTTTCACGATGACAGGACGCAAATGGCAAGAAGCTCTGCAGCTGCTCCGCATGGCCCTGGAGCGGTTCAGGCTGACGCATTGGCCCAGGGGTTGGGATCGCCTTCCCCGAGTCTTTCCGGGCCGCCCTTGTGCTGGTAGGTCAATCCTACCCGGACCATGAGCAGGGCCTTCAGTGATGCTAACCCCGCTTCAGCAACGCAGAGTGCAGGCCTGACATCACGCCTTACAACGCGGCACGCTGCCCGAGCTGCTCGAAGTGGACGTACGGTCGGAGAACACTGACTACGCATGTGGCGAGGTGATCAGTGCATGCGCAGCGGACGGATGCAACGGATGGCAAATGGCGGCGCCTGGTCTGAGCATGTCTGAGCTGTACCGTATTCCAACTCTGACGTGTGGCTGTAATGGCTACGACACCTCCCTGCATTGGCACCTCTCTTATCAGGTGCAGCTCTTCTCAGAAGCTCTGCACACTCTGCATCTGTCAGTTGATGCTTCGAACTCAACGGTGGCAGACGGGACGCTGAGATACTGAGAAATCCCATCGCTTCAGAGATCTGAGGTCCTGACAGGAAGCTCTGTGATCGCTGCATGTGCAGAAGCTGCGAGCTCACCTCGTGAGAAGATTGCAGGCAAGTCGGCGAGTAGCGGATCATAGACGTGCTCGAAGCATCTCGAAGCCATAAGGCCAGGGAGTGGCGACCTGCCCTGCAGCTGCTCAAGGAATTGCAGCAGGAGGGTGTCAGGCATCTTTCTCAGTCTGACGCATCCGATCCTGGGAGCACTGGATCCCTGCGGTAGCTCGCAGCAGCTGAGGTTGAACATCAAAGTGTACAACGCAGCAGTCATGGGCTTGTTGCAGTTCTTCAATCAGGTGAGTTGGTCGGATTGCCAATGGTCCGTTATGGAAGGTCACGGCGGCATCGGAAAGACCCCTGATTGCCCTGCAAGTTGTGGAGGACACCATGACTAATTGAGACGCTGCGCTTCCAGCTGTACGGGCTTCCGTTGGGTCGTGTTCGAGGAGATCGATGATTCGCATCTCGAGCCAGATGTTCTGACGTGCGGCTGCTGAACTTCTTGCGAGTTCTGCTTGCTTGCAGGGTCTGCTAGGATTACCTTGTATCGGCGCAGGTACATGCCCCCAGCAGAGGCAATTGCCGACAACGGTTGCCGGGAGCCGAGTTGCACAGTCACAGCAGGCGACCGTCTTTGCGAGTCCTGTTTGCTAACCACGTGCTGCAGATCCGCATGCCGCGCCCACAAACCAGCTGTTTTATTTCGAGGGTCGGACAACGGTTGATAAGGGCCTAAACCTCACAAGAAGGTCTGCAACTGGTGGAAGACTGATTTGTACCTGCGCTGAGTTCCTCCCTTGCAGCAGCAATCTCAGTTCGCAGAGGCCTGGGTCTCAAGATCCTGCTCGCTGGGGATGGAAGAAGTTCTGTGATGCTTGGTGCAGGTGCTTGCTTCGCTGGTGAAGGCCACCGAGTCCGCACTTCGCAACTCGACCTAATCGTCACCACTGGCTTCTGCCTTGCAGAGTGTTCACCTGCATGTAGCCGTCTTGTCGTCGATGTGGCGAGGTGAGAGTGCTTCTCAATGCGTGAGGAGCTTGTGCGGTCAGGAGGCAGTCATGCTTTGTTGTGCTCCACCTGCAAAGGCCCCGACAGTTCTTGCACTGGACTTGCTCACAGACTCGGGATGTTTTCAGGCGAGAGATCGTGTGTATGCTAAGCAGCACTGCGGGATTACTACTCTTTACATCTGTCAACAGGCTTGTCATGGTGCGCTGCAGGCGCGCATATCCTGCTCAGAATGTTGCAGTGTGATGCGGTCTCGTAGCTCTCCCGTACATTGTCTGAAAATGTCGATGGATCGATAGGTAGACCGTCAGTTGTGTTTGTATGCACATCGACACACATGAAGGATAAACATGTTTTGCTTTTAACGCTGTCTTTTTGGCTGAAACCGGGATGATGATTTTCATTTCGCCCTGGTTCTCAAAGCGCACACTGCAGAAGCAGAACTTGATATTATTGTCACGAAGGTGTATGCGTAGACATTGACAACAAGAATGCTTGCAAAGCACCAGTCTGGCAATACGAATGCGGATGCAATCAATTGTGTGCGGGATTACGTGCTTAACACATCAGTAAGCTGCATAAGTGAGGTACACCCGCCAAAAAATCCTTATAATATGCATGTGGATACGAGTATCAGTGCACGCATAGCCTCTGGATGCCGAGATGGGATTCAGCATCTACCTATGCAGAGACATCCGTGTGCGGGCTTGCTGTGTGTGAGCATTCACGTGTATGTAACATTATGTTTGTCACCATATGCTACCTACCGGCTTCGCTGTCTACCTACTCTTCGACCGACAGACTCAACACCTACCTAAACCGCGCCTGCACATGCACAAGCCTGCATACACCTTGCCTTGCGACCTTACGTGTAATACCTGCTTGTGCGCCGACATAGATCTTGTGTCTTAAATGTCTTAACTCTGCAAGCTGTTTATAGACTTCATTATTTGTGTATTTTTGGTGTGTAAATGCGGGTTTGCTTGGCTTGCTCTGTCTTGTTATCGAGTCGTATACTGGCAAAAAGCCTCATGCATTCTGGCATGCTTTCGGACACTCTCTCAAATGTTGCCACTTTGTGCCCTGAGGCGCTTCCCTATACCTTGTCTTGCATTTGTTATGACACTCGTTGCATGATCGAACGTATACACCGTATGCACATTCGTGCAAAATATGCACGACGGAGCTGTTGCTGTTCCCGCGCGGCAGATCGGGTAAGCGTACTGTACGTGCGTGTTACCATGTCTTGTATGTCAGAGCCTGACTTGGCACTGAAGCAGAGAGTTTGGCGATGTCTGGGTGTCCAGGCGCAGGCTTGCCGCTTGATTCTCGGGCCGGCGAGGCCGGCCCTGTGCGCTCTTAACTTGAGCTGCTTCGGGAGTTGCACTTTCAGATGTCAGGCCGCGTCTCCAAAATCTCATGGATGCCTCGGAGCGTAGAGAAGGCTCCCCAGCAAAGCGAAAGCATGTTTCAAGGGTATGCAGGGTATATGCTGCAGGTCATGAAAATGAGGCTCTCCGCGCAGAAGCCTTTGTGGGTTTTTCCCAAGGATGCCGTACAGACTCTTCTCCACACATCTGAGGACCCTGTCCTCGAGAGGCACTTCAGTATGGGCAGTATGCTGACAGACGAGGCTGGCACGAGCTATCTCGAAGATGGAGTCCCGTCAGGAAAGTGCATCTTGCATGGTAGTCCCTGGTCTACAGCGCCCCTACTGCTGTACTAGTATTTTTTCACCACGACAACTACCACTATCACTATGACGACCACTACTTGTAGCCACTACCAGTACCAGTACCCCTACCCCTGCCGCTACCCCTACCCTACCGCTATCATTACCACTACTGCTGCTGCTGCTACTACTACTACTACTACTACTAATACTACTACGACTAGAGGAAAGTTAACAAAAGTTAGGAACATCTGCAGAAAGCTTTGACAAGCTATGAAGAAGTACACAAGCTAACGAACGAATGTAAAAGGCCAAATAATTCCATGGATCATGCTCGCAATCTGAATGGCAAGTTATCGGCAGGGGGTGAGATCGCAAAATATTGCTTGGTTGAGTGTGGTGTGATGTCGAAGACTTCGCAGCCAAAATGCCGGGTCAATGTTCTCACCATCCGCTCAAAACGAGAGAGGCGCGTTCTGATTCAGCTTTTGTTGGTGTCATGTTGAGCAGCACATGCCATCAAGTTGAGCAATAATTCTGGCTTGAATATCTCATATATCTCCTAGCAGACACACTTTCCATCAACAAACCGAAAAATAGGACTCGCTAGAAAGTCCTAGCAACTCAGGTTTTGTGCCCAGAGAACCCAAGCACCTTATTAGTCTAGTACCTAGTGCGTCTCTTAGGCACTGCTGCTGCTACTACTGCTAGTACGAGACGACGACTACGACGACGACGACGACGACGACGACGACGACTACTACTACTACTGCGGCTAGTACGAGCATGGCTACCAACTGCCATGATTCCTGCAAGTAGGCCTATGTTGTTGCTTCGAGGGACGTGTCTCGTTGGCTCGACTCGTTTTTGCAGCTGTAGCCGAAGGCACTTCCAACAAATTTGACCCATTCGGGACGGCTGAATTGCAGAATGTGGCGCATCCATCGTGTTAGAAGGGAGTCCCCAGTCAACTGGTCCGAGATGTGGTGACAGGTCCTGGCATCCTCCTTCCCAGCAGGCCGTCAGAGCTTGCGCTAAGCATGGAAGAGCAAGCTCTCGAAAGTCTTCGTGCCGCTCGAGGTGCCGCCTGGAGAAGACCTGCGGTCCATCAGGCGCAAATCCCATCAATCTTTGAGCGACTTTCTGCCTGCCTTTCGGCAGGCACGGTCTGCCCTGCAGTTGTGTGAAGAGGAGGCCTTGGTCATCTGGACCCGGCATGCTCCGGCCCTGCTTTCCTGTGCTTTCCAGGTTTCCTTCGCTGGCTCTGTCGTTTCTCGTGGGATTAGCGCCTGGCCGGGCCCCGAAGAAGCAAAATCAGCGCCAGCGAGTAGCCGGGAGTAGCCGCGAGTAGCGAGGTCGGGCTGCAGCCTTCAATGCCCGTCAGCACGGCCCGCAGTTTGTCCTTCGACAGTGCCTCTGGCAGCAGAAGCACCGTGCAGATGCTTGAGGTGACCGATTTCGGGCTCCGTGGCCGGCTCTGTGCCTTTGGAGAAGCGGATCCCGATTTCAGGCCAGTGCCTGCCGTCATGCCTTGATGCATTCATGCCGTCATGCACTGCATATTGCATAGCTAGGCGCTTGGCGCCAATCCTGGTGGAGCATGATCGGTCGCAACATGCCGAAAGACAGGCATGCCCCCCTTGGGCCATCGGAGCGGTTTACAGCTGCCGTGATTTGCTTTGGAAGGCAATGCTCCTGCTCTTGGACGAAGCTACTCTGCTGAATCTGTATTGCAATTGAGCTGACCGAGCTGGAGGGGTTCCGAAATCTGTTGCATCTGATGTGCGTGCAAGCATATTCGCCCCGTCATCCCTGCAGGTTAATGCAAGCATCCATGGGCCAAAGACTTGTCCAGATGGTGCCGACACGCTGGAAAAGCAAGGGCCAATGCCCGGACTGGCGTGCTTTTGGTTGTGACTCTTCTAGTGCTTCTTCTAGTGCTATGACAGCTGCGAGTGCATTGGCAAATTGGAGGCCGCTCAGAAGTTTAGGATGACGATGACTAATGAGGTGCAGGTGTTGTTCGAAAACCGCTTAACCGCTTAATGAATCGGACACTAATGCGAACAAATGTCGATTACCATCAGTTGTCAATCGCGCTGTTGAACTCAAAAAAATCAAAGTATCTATTCCGCAGTCTTTCCTTCGGCTCAGGCTCTCCACTGCTAAGCAGTGGGCACGCCACACTTTGACTTCAGCCGTTGTAGTTCCTGCGTTCCTACAGAGATGTTTCGAGGAAGGATTGGAGGTATGAAAGGCGTGAACGGAGTTGAGATGGTGATGCCGGGGGGGCTAGATGTGACGAAGAAGCCAACGAGTCTTCGAACAATGAGATCTAGCTCCTCATCGATGTTGACTGGTGTTACCGGTTCTCCGAAATGGATCAAGCTAGACGGAATCCACGACACCTTCGTTCGTCGGGTTCGACGTGCAGGCAATGCTTGGATTCAGACTGACCAAGCATCCGTGGTGATTGGAGTAGCCATAACCGTGCAAGCGCTGCTAATGGGCATAGATCTGGAGCTCGAATTTGCTGCACAGCTAGACCAGGACGAGCAGAGTCAACTGGCTGGTGGCGCCCTTCGAGAACGAGGTGGCTTTGCTTTCTATTTCGTCCTGACCATGGATTGTCTTCTATATACTATATTCACCGTCGAATTTTTTCTGAGGCTCCGTGCAGTGGGCATAAAATTCATGCGCACAGCCCTCGGGGTGTTGGACTTCATTTTATTGCTAAGCGCAGGAGGATACATTGTACTCCAGCTAACTGACATTACGCTGCCGGGTGCAATGGTTGGAATTGTTCGCACAGTCCGACTTCTCCGTGTTCTGAGATTTGTTCACATTCTGGCAATCGTGCCTGCCTTGGCTCTCCTGGTCAAAGGTCTGGTGAGCACGCTGATTACCATCATGGATGCAATGATCCTGCTAGGAATCCTGTCCTATGTGGGGGCCCTCCTCTGTTCAGAGGCTCTGGGGAATGCAACAATCCCTGAGCTCCAGACTTTTTTTGGAACCATTCCTTTGAGTTTTCTGACGCATATCAAATTGGTATTGGTTGAAGGATGGCCGGAGATTTCGGACGCAATGTTGCAAGACTCTGACTATTGGTCAGTGTACTTGATCATCTTCATCTTCCTCAGCAATTTCGCTCTCTTGAACCTGGTTACCGGCGTCGTCTGCGAACGAGTCATGGAACTTGCTAGACAGATGCCACCTGTGTCGGCAGACGACAAGGACTTCGAGCTTGAGGATTTGAGAGACAGGATTACTGAACTGTTTGAAACTGCAAGTAGACAGAGGCGCAACTACCTGTCCGAGGGGGAATATGTGAAACTTCTGCGATCCGTCCCAGCACGGGAAGTGCTCGATGACATGAAGATTGCACTACCTTCTGATACAACCCGTTTAACGTGCTTGATTGACGACGATCACAATGGGAAGGTCACACGCATGGAGTTGCAGGATGGCCTGTTGCGGCTGCGGGGCAGTAGGCTTGACGCTGTCTCGCGGGAGCTGCAGCTGATGGTGAGGAAGCGCTTCTGGATGTCCTTCACTGCTATCAACAATGCCGACACTCAGCTTGAAGAGTCTGTGCGGGATCGCATGCAGTCTGCCGGTCAGAAAGCAATGCAACAAGTCGATGGCATCCAAGCAGGATTCCTGCATCGCCTGAAACGCCATTGTGGTAAGAGAACGCCTGAAGCCAAGAAGTGGGACAATCGGCTTTCGAACATCTCCTCTGCCATGCGGGCACTTCGATGTTCCTTAACAGCGTTACAACATGACTGCCGGCAGGCGAGACTCCTAAGCTCTGACGGACCCGAACAGCAAGACTCTCGACCCCGGAACACAACGAAGAAGGCTGCATCTAGTCAGACCGATGCCACTGCGGTGTCGCGCAATGAATCTTCTGGCGATCGTTAAAACAGTTTTCGTTGCAACTGTTCAGCATGAAGCTGGGTCCAGACACTGCTTTCCACATGCCAGAACAAGCTGTACACATGCACCTCGCTGCCGTGTCACACATGCGGCTGCAGGTACGACATATCACTTACGCCCGACAGGCTTGTTCGAGGTAGGGCGATATTAGGAGATAGTGAAGCAGCACGCCGTTGTTGATTTGCGTTTGGAGCCTAGCTACCCTTCACAGCACCGTCACAACACTGAGCTCAGCCATTTTTCAGAATCTCTTGCTGGTGATGTTAGTGCATTGAGCACGCAGCCCCGTCGCATCTCGCGTCGCGTCATGGGCAATGCACTGGGGGATGTGTCAAATTATGCCTGCTGCACAACACGAGGGGACGAAGCCGCTGCTTTGCTTGTGAAAAACAGGCGCCGCAGACAATTTTGACTAGTGTTGCGAAGTTGCGAGCATGCGTACCCCTGTCAGGCACCACTCTTGGCAGGATGTTCCGGAGACTGAAGAGTTCCAAGTCTTCTTTGACTGCTACGAGACTCGGGAAGAGATGCTACAGCGCACGTTCTCTGGCGAGTCTGAACATCGCCCACGCAGATGGCCACTGGAGCGCCGGGGCAGTGGAGAATTGCCCCGCAACCGCCCGCTTTCTTTGGTGCCGGAGGCGCGCAGTGAGTAGAGAATCGGCCAAAAGCCAGGTCAGACGTCGCCCCTATTTCACATTGTAGTAGGCATTTGCGCACTGGCTGTTCGGCGAGGGTCTACTTGGTTTGTGTGTTCCATGGGTGCGACATCAGCGCCGTCTTCGGCGCGACGGGCCTGCATGGCATCTAATGAAGGGACGACGTTCACAAGGTTCACTTAAGTTCGGCTGTCGTTGTTCCGCCTGTCATGACCTGTCCAAGCTCCAGGCTGGTTTCCGCACCTTTGCCGAGAGGGCATCAATACGCCAGCTGCCGGAACCGACGTTCAGGGATGACATGCCGCTTCTTCCAGAAGATGCGGCCCAGACAGATATCAGGAAGTGATTAATTGATTAGTACACCGGTACTTGTAAAGATATGTGTGCTTGAAGCTTTATGACAATCCAGAAGGTCCAGAAACGTGTTCAGAGGTTAGACATCGATACGGTTGGTTTCGATGCATGAGGTCTACGAAGACCTTGTGCCTGTGCTCAAGGAAGAGGTGCTGGACCAGTGGCGGCGTCGCATGGAGGCAGCGTGATTTAATTCAATGTCCGTAGCGCCCGATGCAAAACTGAGACCATCCAGCGTCCTGTTTAGGAGGGCGATCTCGATGAGCAGCTTCAGAAGCAGCTTCACGCGGGCTTCCCAGAACTGGAAGAGTGGACTTCACTCTCCACCGTACGGCGGATGCTGCGAGCATCCCAGGGAAATCTGGCACAGGCCACGCCAATGCTGATGAAGGCCATCGAATGTCGTGTTCGGGAACGAGAACTTTTTCAGTGCATGCGATGTAAGGCGGCTTGTGACATGAGGATCATCGGACGGGATCGACAGAACCGTCCGACAATTTACATTAGCGCACGGAGCCAGACAGAGCCCCTGCGAGCTCTCATTCCGCAAGTCTTCCTGGCCTTTGAGGCGAGGCTGGCGTTTGCCTGGGAAAAATAGAGCATCCGTTCTAATTTTAGGCACCAGCTGGCTCTGGAAGCTGAGGCAGCGACGCGGCTTGCCCAGGAGGACGGCCAGGCAATTCTGGTTGCTGACATGATCCAGCCACGGCCTCGGGTGCTGTGCTGGCACTAGTGGGCACTCTCTTGGATGTGAGTAAATCTATGGCATACTCGCATCATCCAAGGGTCATCAATAGAGAGTGCCGTCGAGCCCACATTCGAACACTAGAATTGTTTTGCCTTGTTCTGCGCTCTCTTCCGCACAGTGCTGTGGCCAGGTTGCAGCCGCATCTGAACATGGATCTTTTCGCATTTAAAGATCTAGCCAACAACTTCGGAGTGGCGAAGAGCTCGGCTTACTACAGTCGAGCCGTTGTCCGCATTCAGAGCTTTGTGTTCAGCTGCAGGTTTTTGCAGATCGTCTGAACTGCATCCTCATCGTGGATTTTTCGTGGGTGGCGCAGGACCCCCGCCCTGTTCGTCAGCCTGGTATGAAACGGTCGATTCGAAACTCGATACCATTCGATACCATCACGTTCTTGATCGTTCTCGTCTCCTGTGAGCCGTGGGGGCAAGGCTGTCTGGTCCACCCTGAAGCCGTTTCTCAGCGAGTGGATCCCTGAGCGGGGGAGTTGGGACCCGGCAAAATCTGCCTGCGCGAGACTCTGAGGCGCACGCAGAGAAAGATCAACTTCCTCAGCGAGGTGGTGCCGCGGTGCCCAGAAGGGAGAGGGCCAAGGCCGGTTTTGGAATTTGCCAGGCAAAGGCCCGGTCCTTCGTCAGCCAGAACTTCTCCGCAGCGACCCGCGACAGGTTTGCAACAGCTCAAGACCTGACAGCACTGCTTGCAACGTGTTCTGCAGGATCTTCAGCTCCTTCGACATCAACCGGGATGAGCCTCTTGTTTAAGCATCCTGTTTTTTTTTTTTCCCTCTCTCTCTCTCTGCCGTAGCTGCACTTGTCCGCGCCCCATGAAGGCTAAGCACGCAAGAGGACAGATTTGCTCATGCGCCGGCGGCCTGGATTGCTGCGGTCTTTCGAAAAAGTAGAAGGTGACCAGAGAGCGCTTCCTCTCACAAAGGCTCCGGACTGCCATTTGCGATGTGCCGCTGGGGGAGCTACGAGCTGCAGACGAGGCGCTGATTGGCGGGTGTCATGTGCGGGGACTGAAGGAAGAGTTGCATCGAATCGAGTAGCTGTTGCCCAGGCCGGGTAAGGGAACAGTGACTTGTGCAAGCAATTCAGCGCAGGGCTGGCTGGCCGCCACTTTTGAAACATGTGATGTCGGCAGCAGCTGCTCTGGTTCCTTCCAACCTAGCAAGGCACACCTGCCATCCACGTGCTTCCTTACGGGTTCAGCACTACCCCTGCCATCCACGTGCTTCCTTACGGGTTCAGCACTACCGTTTCGAAAACACGATCAGAGCACAGAAGAGACACAGAGGAGTGCTTGGGCAGGGGTCCGACCTGAGTCTGGCAGCTGATTCCTGAAACCACGAAGTGGAGGAGTCAAAAACTGCTACCTGCTACCGTCATCCGAGTTTGAGATCAGTGCACAAGGGGCATGCGCGCGGGTGAGTGCCTTGCCCTCCACAGCAAGGCCGAATGGTTTAACAGCCGTCACCAAAAGTCCACCGATCTGCCTCTTCAGAGCAGCAAGACACGCAGAAGAAGCATGTCACCAGAGTGTTTTGTGCAAGATGTGGGCTCGATTGAGATGAAGAGTAGGGGGGGTTTGGGCCGGGCCTTTAGCCATGGCACTGGTGCCCACCGAAAGTTCGCTTCGGCCTCGAGTTCCTGTTGAGTGCTTCAAGTTGGACAACTCATCCGAATCGCTTGAGGTTTCTATCTTCCTTGAATGTTGACAGAAAGCGAGCACTGGACAGACAGAAAAAGCGAGAGGCACGTCATCTTGAACTTTGGTGATGAAAAGCTGGAAAGCACCCACTGTGTTGAAGATTGTAGCCGTTGCAGCAGTGTAGCTGATCGGAGCCAGCTCGCAGGATCGGTAACGTGCTCGCGAAGAATTCTTGCTAGTACCGGCATCTTGACATCCTGTCCAGGAGCTTCTGGTAGATACAGAAGGGGGAACCAAGATTCTTGGACTTCACCAGGATCTGCAGGCTCGGCATATCTCAGTATCTTGTTGAATGAGTCGTAAGAGCTGATTCTTGTCCGAGCCCTGCCCTTCTTCGGCTTTTCCAGTTCCTCTTGCAGGCCCTTGTGGATGTGCTCGATGAACGCGTTGAAAGTAAGCTCAGCGCGAACGAAAAGGTCCATGGTAGCTGAAGTGAAGATCCTCACAGCCGCTCGCCTTCAGCAAGAATCTGCTGCAGGCATACTTCGTGGCTTACAAGAGCTTCATGTCCCAGCCTTGGCAACAGGAGCAGCTAACTGCGGCTTCAAGTCTCGTCTTGATCGCACGAAGGTTCACTGTCCAAAAGGAGTACAAGGAACTGAAGCAGAAGGCTCGAAGATTCCTAATACGAGATTCTCGGTCCTGCCCCACCCTTCGACACCTCGCAGCTACCGGGGGAGGACAGGGTGGATGAACATGTCGTATAACTTACAGATGCCACAGAGGGCGACACAGATGCTTCAAAAGTCACGAGCTGCGACCATCATTGGCTGGTCGAATCATCTTTCGACCAACACACCAGTGCATGGGCGGCTCATCTTGGACGAGCTTGCATATGGCCAATGCAATGTTGAAGAGCCTCTACATTTGAGTGTAGCTCCAGCTTGCAAGTGTTCGCTTTACGAACTCCGAACAATCCGTGCAGGATTCGTGCTGTGAAAGACTAGCCCACCGGCGGCATGTTTGCTTGTTTGTTTTGTTTTGTTGCTTGCTTGCTCGTTTGTTTGCTTTTGTGTGTTTGTGATGTGTTTTGCTTTCGTTTGTTCGTTCGATCGTTTGTTTGTTTGTCTGTTTGTTTGTGATGTTTGTGTCGGTAGCCCTTGTCTGTTTGCTTGTTTGTTGGTTGGTTGACTTGTTTGTGGATTTGTGTGTCTTTGTTTGCTGTTCGTTCGTTCGTTGTTTGTTTGCTTACTCGCCTGTTCATTTCATTGCGTGCTGCCTAAGCGTGCTGAATGCGTGCGTGTGTTTTTGTTGTGTTTGTTGTGTTTCTTCGTTCGGGTTTGTTCGTTCGTCGGTTTGTTCATCTATTTGTTTGTGTGCGTTTGTTTGTTGTTCGGTTGTTCTGTTTGTTTGTTCTTGTGTTTGCGCGTTTGTTGTTCGGTTGTGTTGTGTTTTGTTGTGTTGTCTTTTGGTTTGTCTGTTTGTTGGTGGGTCTGTTTGTTTGTCTGTCTGTCTGTCTGTCTGTCTGTCCGTCTGTGTGTTTGTTTGTTTGTTTGTTCGTTTATTTGTTTGTTTGTTTGTTTGTTTGCTTGTTGCTTTTTAAACGTTTTTCGTTCGTTCGTTCCCTGGTTCCTTCCTTCCTTCTTTCCTTCTTTGGTTCGCTAGCTAGTCGGTCTGTTTGTCTTGCTTGCTTGCTTGCTTGCTTGCTTGCTTGCTTGCTTGCTTGCTTGCTTGCTTGCTTGCTTGCCCGCTTTCTTGCTTGTGTGTTCGCACCTGCCGGGTTACGCTCACGCAAAGTGTCAGATTGCTTGCTTGCTTTCTTGAGTGTGTGTGTGTGTGCCCGTGTGTACGTGTATGGTCATTTCTTGCTTGTATGTTTGTGTTGTTGGTTTGTTTCCTTGTTTGTGTGCTTCTGCTCTTTGTTGTTTGTTTGTCGTGTGCTATACTTGTTTGTGTCTGTGTGAGTGAGTGTCTGGGGGGTGCGTGGGGTGTGGACATGACTTCGAGCAATAACTTGGGTCAGGCAGATGAGGAGGAGACAAAAACGAGGAGGGATGCAAAGATCCAGTCCCTGGAAAAGGCCTGCTGGCACTTCTTAGCGGGGGAGCGATGTGGTCAGCGTGTCGGACATGCAACTTATGAGGAGCTTGACTGGTTCATGAACGAGGCAGAGACTGGCTCCGGGCTTCGAGAAGTCCTGTTGTCTACGCCGACCTTTGAAGGCTTTGCGCTTGGATGAGCTGGTCAAGAAATACAAGAAGGTTGCGAGGGGGCCATGCAGATTGCCATGTTGCAGCTACTGAAAAAGTGAAGGAGCTGGACAAGTGGAAGGGCAAAGCAGAGGCGCTCATGCTGCCCTTGCTGTCTCTCGCACCGCGCAATCGTCACCTGCGCGCTTTGAATGCGCGCACATTCAAAGCCCAGTGCCTGCAAGGTCGCCTTGCCTGGGTGTGTGCTGCTTGGAGTAGAAAGCAGTGCAAAGCAGCACCTTCCCTTCCAGGCGTTGGAGGACGATCGGCAGTTTCTGGAGAACCAGATCAAGCAAGCCAAGAGGCCGAGCTGGACACTGCATCAGCCACGACTCTTCTATTAGATCGCGTGCCAGGACAAATAAATCTCTGAGAAGTGCCGTGGAAGAGGACGTGGCCTTGGCAGTGTGCTTGTGTTTTCTTGGTGCTGCGCTAGCACTAGTCACTAGACCATCGACGAATCGACTGTTTGCTGAGCCCTTTGGATCAAGGGCAAGGCCCACACTTGTATGCCAGCATAAGAAAGAGTAGACAGCTGCTTCATGACGGTCACAAAGCGTGACGATGTCTTTGACACTCGGTCTCAACCCTCTTGTCATCGGGGTGCATTCGTTGTGAGTTGCTTGTGGGGCCCGTGCCAGTTCCCCCTGCCCAGGCCGACATCTCAGAAGCTGCAGGCCCGGATAGCAAGGAAATTCCAACAAAGCCGCCTGGCTTCGCTGGACTGAGAGATCCTCGGAAGAGTGGAGTGGGATGGGTCATGAAGTCCAGACATGTAGCGACACAAGAGGTCGGATGACGGCTGCAAAAAAGCAGCGAGTCCGGAAGCCTGCCGAGATGACTGCTGGGCTGAACTAGCTATGATTTCTAAGCTTGCAGCTATATGTTTTGTTTTGTGTTCCCAGGTCTTGATTTCGTCTTTCTGCGAGAGTCTGAGTGCGATATTGGTTGAACCCAGGCGGATGCCCATGCAGCACAATTTGCGGAATATACTGGCATGACACCAAAATGGTGCTATAGACTAGTTCTGATTAGCTTGGTACTACGAGTGATGGGCGGATGCTGGGTGGCCTTCGTTGCTCTGGAGTACACCCGCTACTATGTCTGGACCTCAGTTTCTTGCCAGTACCACTTGCTTGGGCCGCGCAAACCCATTGCAAGCAAATGGGCGGGGAAGAGATGATTGTTCGGCAAGGCTCCAGGATAAAAGACGTACTGCATAGCATTTTTGTGGGGGTGTGGTGCTCTGACCCGGACTGCCTCACAGCTCCACCGGGCAAGTCACCCTCACACGCTAAATTTGCCCAAAGCCAAAATCTGCAGGTGCTGAACGACCTGGCCGAGCTCGACCTTCTCCGGGTTCTGACCGGCTCTCCGCAATTTGCCGTTCAGGCGTTCCTCTTTCCTTTCTTGGGTGTCGAGGCCTCAAACTGTGGAGCTAGAATTCGGAAAAAGCGGGGCTTGCTCTCATCGCGATGACTGAGGTCTTGTCAGACAGGGTCTCGAGGAAGAAGCTCATACTGGCTTCGAGTGCGGCCATCTCTGTTTCGGCTTGGCTGATGACGGCGGTGCCTTCTGTGGAAGTCTACATCTTTACCAAGGCCGTCCTAGAATGTCCTAGACTTTCCTGGGGGCAGACACTGGCTGCCTCAACACACAGGGTCGCACCCCGAAATTATGCCGAGTGTCAGAGATTTCCAACGGTTAGGCCAAGCATCTGCTCCAAAGTGCATTTGCAGCCACCGCGCTCCCCGCTTCTTCGAATTCCTTAAGCCTTAATACCTCTCTTTAGTACTGCAATGCAAACCCCTGACATCTTCTGCCTGTGTATGGCGGTCCAGCTGCAGGTAAGCAAGGCTCGAGGTAGTCTTGACGGAGAAATCAACGGATAGGAGAACAGAGAGGGCATAGAGCATGTGCAGACGCGGGAGACTTGAACATCGCCTGTAATAAGTGCCGATGATTGGCCATAGCCAGGTGCTGGCATTGGTTTCAGACGTTGGCGGCCCTATTCGAGACGCCATGCTACGTGACATCTTCTCCGCGGAAGAGTGGGAAATGAAACATGGTGGTGTAACAGGCCTAAAAGCGCGCTTGGCCATCGTGGGCCAGATGGGCTTTGCTCTTGCGATGGCGATTGGGAGCCAGGGCATTATAGTCTGCACTTCTTGATGCACCGCAAAATGACCATGTTACAGCTTGGTTTGCCGGGCTGAGGATGGCCATTATTAAGCTGGGGGAAGTCGGCGTTGGACTTCCAAACGAGTACACTGTACACAAGGCCCTGGTCTCAAAAGCACGATGCAGTTGATTCCGATGCACTTTGCACGCCGTCTTGCAGGAACATTGCGGGGCGCATCACTGCATCCAGCCAGGGCATTTTAGCTGGGATGGGCCATGGGCCATTGATGGCAGCTTGCGGCTAATGATGCTGATGGGGCACTTGCCTGAGCTGAACTCTGCAAACATGGTTTCGGGTCGCGTACTCTTGCAAGATCTTGCAAGTATTGCATGCCAAGGTCCGTTTGCTTGTCGCTCGAAACTATCCTAGTGGCGGTGGCCTTCCCCGAGACAATCAAACCGGAGCTTCGCACGAGCACCCGGAAGCTGGTGGTGGAAAACTGGCGGGTGCCTGGCATATACTGCAGGCATGAAGCTCATGCAAGCCCTGTCGAGCGATCCGAAGGGCATCGGGCTCCGTTTTGATTGGGGTGATGTCTAAGGTCATTCAGCCGTGGAACAATCTTCGTGTCTTCGCCACGCACGAGCTTCGGCTCCTGATGTCCATCCGGACCTTGGGCTACGTGCCTTTCGGCTCTCTCAGTGGTCATGTGGCTGCGCTAGGACTCGCACAGAGCTGGACTGGACCTTAGGATCGCTGCTGGAGGAGGATCTGTCTACATGTCTTTCTATCAGCGCTTCGAGTTTGACACCTTCACGATTCTCGGCGATGAGAGAGATATCAGTCTCGTCCTCGATGCCTTCGATGCTAAGGATGATGACGCACACCGTTCTGGCAGGGGCTGCCACGTGGTTGACCACCCTGGCCGTGCCAAAACTGGTGGATCGCCTTGGGGACATGCGCGGTGTTTGGATCCCTTCAATTGTGCCCGTCCCAGTGGTTGAGCAACGCGTGAGCAGGTACGCACGTGCATCGTTGCATCGCAGCACCATAAGGTCTTGTCGATATTGTACGGGGTGGCCTGCGGCTTCATTCCCGCCGGCCACGGCTACCTGGTCTACGCTGTTTGGCCACTGCTCGGAGGGCCCTCCTTCGCTCTGACTGGCTTTGCTCCCGACCTGCTTGCAAAGCTCGTTCCGGCAGACGTGCAAGGAACGTTCGCCACTGCAAAGTCCTTCCTCTTCCGGCTTTCTCAAGCTATCTTCATGTGGCCCTGGAACCAGCTCTTCATGCATACCGCCCAGTTCGCATATCCACTGGATGCGACCACACTTTGGGTCTCCCTTGTCTTAGGCGTGTTCATGCTGATGCTCACCTGCTACGCATGTCAACACGATCCCCGCGAAGCCATTAAGAGTGGACGGGCGTTGGATGCCTTCATGGCCAGTCGGAGCCTTGGTGCTGCGAAGCATGTGTGCGCCTGGTGGTAGAAAGACCAGGACGACTACAGAAACAGAGCAGGGCAAACCGGACAATCGAACCTCAGAAAGACGCTCTTCTGTTCCGCCATCCTGAACTATACTCAACCTCCAGGCCAAGTCACTACATGAGTTTCCTTCTGCAGTCTCCCGACATGTCTTGTGATTCTGGTTTCCCGATCTTGCACATATTTTGTAAATTGCTTCAGCTGGAAGTGTGCAACATCGCCCACCTCGTCTTTGCATACAGTCGTCACGCTCCCTGCAACGTTGATTGCAAGGTTGCCGGTAGCGGCAGCAGTCACAGATACATATATTGTGGAGGGGAGGAGATGTATGGAGCGAGGATCCCTTCCAACAGCATCGTAAAGCAGCCCCACAGCCCAAGTCGAAGCCCCAAGTTGAAAGGACGCGCTGGCAAACCTCAGAAGGGATTGCGGGAAACCTGCACCAGCGCATGGCGTCGTGGCATGGGAACCTTTCGAGTCTCATGCCCCTTCGCCTCTTGAGTCATCGATGCAAGAACCTATCCCGGGTGCTCGGGGAATGATTCGATGACAGCTGTTTCGGAAAAAATGCGATATGATAATTAGTGTGGTGCACACATCAAAAGCATGGCCACCACAACATGAAATGACTTTGTTCAATAGTATGCGCCCCAAAGTTTGCCAAAATATTTGGAAGCTACATTGCTTGGGGATCGGCCAGGAAGGTTAACGGACAGTGGTGATTAACAGCATCACAATGACTGATTCATCAGGCAATCCAGTACTAGCAGAAGAGTGCTAGCAGTACTACTGGTACGACTTGTTCTGGTAGTGGCGGTTATGTTGTCGGTGTTGGTCCGTCGGTGTTGGTGGTGGCGCTGGTGCCTTTGCTGGTGCTGCTGCTCGTGCTGGTGTTGGTATTCTAAGGGTGATAGGACAGTAGCAGTAGCAGCAGCAGCAGCAGTATAGCAGCAGCGGTAGCGGCAGCAGTAGCAGTAAAAGCAGTGCAGTAGTAGTAGCAGCAGCGGCAGCAGCAGCAGCAGCAGCAGCAGGAGTAGTAGTAGTCGTCGTCGTCGTCGTCGTAGTAGTAGTAGTAGTAGTAGTGTTAGTAGAAGACGTAAGAAGAAGTAGTAGAAGTCGTCGTCGTCGTCGCCGTCGTCGTCGTCACTTGCTCCAAACTATCTTAAGTGGAGCACATCCGTTTTACTAGTTATTTGCGTTATTTTCGCAACGTCCTACCACTTCTTCTTGTCTCAAAATCCACTTGTCGACTTTGCAAACTCGAGCTTCGGATTTTGGAAGGGTTCGGGGGTTGGGCGGGGGAGTGGGAGGTGGGGGTAATGATGACTCGTTTGCGCGCACGTGCATCTTACTCGGTATTTAGAGTGCTTTCGTAATGTCCTACTGCTTGTTGCCTCGAATGTCAATTTGTCGACTTTGCCAGCTTTAGTGTTTCTGATATGATGAACATGTTGGTTTCAGCCGGCAGGTCATTGGTAGGGGGTGGCTAGTAGCAGGAGAAGTAGTAGTCGTCGTCATCATCGTTGTGGTCGTCGTGGTTGGGGTGGTAGTGGTGTTGGTGGTGGTTGGTGGTAATTGTCGTCGTCAAAGTCGTAGTCGTAGACACAATCGTAGTATGTCGTAGTACTACTTAGTGGTCGTGGTAGTGTTTTTGAACTTAGTGGAAGTGGCAGAGGTAGTGGGTGGCGGTCGTGGTGGTGGTCGTAGTAAGGAAGGAAAGAACGTGAGCCCCTCGGTTTGCAGCCCTTCGAAGAGCTCAGGCCCTTGCATAAAAGCAGCTTTAAGTTAGTTGGAAAAACGTTTTCGGCCACAAGGACTTGACATCACAAAGGGTCATCAAAACCATCAGCACGTATTGCGGGACACTTCACATTTGACGAGAAGGCGCTTACACAGCAGTGAACAGCGGACGGAAGCAGAGCCGCAACAAATCTAAGCAAGCCCAACGCGCCGGCAACGGCTGCAGCATGAGTCATTGCCTCCTTTCTTTATGGTTTGAAAGCCGTTCCCGAACAGTAATGACAGAAGGCACGGCGTCAGCAAGTCCGAGTATAGTAAACGCTCAGAACGGCAGCTGAAACCACACAAGCAAGAAGGTGAGTTTAGATGGCGATGGAGAACCTATCATCGCCAGATTTCCTCGTACAAACTTGCAAACAAGTGCAAAACCCGGTGCTAGCGGACAAGAAGATATCGAAGATAGGTTGCTGCCACTTTCTCAACAAGGCCTCTTTCTTTTACAACGAGATTCACCGGAAGCTGTTGATCGCCACCAGGCCCTGTGAAACGATAAGGGGGACCAAACGATAATGCGGGCGTTTTGCACCAACAGCACCCTGTTCATCGTAGCCGGACCGCCATCGCCCGCCCACTGGATGTCGGAGGAGGAAGCTTACACAGTCTTGAGACCGACAGACATCAGTTGACAGCCTTTCGTGGCTGGTCGACTTGTGCATTCATGGTCGGATGCAAGAGCAAGCAGCAGAACGAGAGATGAAGGGAATGTTCCCGTTTCGTTCGGGAGCATGGATTCCATGGGAGAAGGCGGGAATGGGAGGTCGGAAAGATGGATGAATTGGCTTCACCAGTGTTCCACCCATAAACTCAAGTGCCCTTTTCTCCTTTCCAAGGCGACTATGCCAAAAGCAGCTGGTACAAGAAGAATGCAGCAGAGGATGTCTTCGAGCAGCAAGCATCAGCTGCAGGCCCCATCTACGAGAGCTACAAACACATTCCTGCTTTCGCTTTCGCTAGACAGTGGTTGCATGCGCATTGGCAGGTGGACAGCAGATGGAGATGCTTCAATACACGGCAACGCTCAGTCGACAGGTGAGCAAGCAAAGCAAGCAAAGCAAGGAAAGCAAGTGTGCGACACGGAACCCGACCCTGCTCGAACACGGGAATAGTTTTGTTTTGCTGGGTTGCAGGCTGTTCTGGTATGGTAAACTCGTCAGTAATGTGCAGAGCTTGTTCTCAGCCAAGGACAGATGTCGAGCATTCGCATGTTCCCGAAGAGCTAACACACGCATCGTTGTGAACGGCTGACGCAGTTGCTGGCGCATGGAAACTTTTGAAAGTGGCCCGTCTATCTGCTTCTGCGATTCGAGCTACCTCCAGAACGCTGGCAGACTCTTTGTGACCCACGCCGCACAGGCGTTCTAAGAACAGATCGCATCACACGATGGAGCAGGGCGATTGGTCAAAATGTTGTTTGAGTGCGTTCGAGATATGAGAGAGCGCCACACAGGGCCCCCAGGTTTTGAACAATCGCCCCAGATGTGTGCCTGGCTCTGGGGCTCCGATCTTTGGACCCGGAGCACCTGCAGCCCTAGGACTCAATCCAAAATACCCTCCTGTGATGCATGCAGGTTTTGTCACTTGCCAAGTGGTAGGTTTTGTGGAAAACTCAAATATTCTGCCACCACAAGCAGGCAAGTAATAGTTTGTGTAGAGCTTTTGTCGCAGATAGGCTGGCTCCGAGACGGACTCCAGCTGGTTTGCTTCATTCATCTCAGCATGCTCTTCCATGCTCAAGGTGCATGTCTTGAAGAGAAGCTGTGAGCAGTGCCACCGAGCCACTGAAGTGAATTTGAAGGTTTAGTTGACAATTGATAGTGCTGTCGCCATGTAGAACATGCTGACGGTCCACTCCGAAAAGCCTCGGTCGGAGATCCTACAAAATGGTTCCTCTTGACACCCGTTGGCGAAAATGTCGAAGTGGGTGTGCCCACGGATTTTTCAGTGGGACGTGAGGCAACTTGAGAAAGATCAGGCGAGCGGACCCGATGTTGAGATGTGCAAGTCAGGCTCAGAGCTCGGCATATGCCGCTCTTGTGTCAGCAGAAGACGGTCAGCAGCGGGAGCCTCAGATCCTTTGTGCTTTGCCATCGCCCAATGTGTCGAGCCGAGGCAGCAGACCGCCAAGCCGCAGGACCGGCAGTTGCTCGTGCTCAGGAAGTTCATAATTCTTTGCAGATGCCTTTTGAAACGGGTCTGTTCCTGCAGGATCTGCCACAAGATGCTGAGACCATTCAAGGCCAGCCTTCTTGGTCGATGTGAAACGGGATGTAAGAAGTTGGCACCTGCGAGGCCCCACATTCAACGGCCTCTCACAGGACCGCTGCACCTCTCCGCATTTCTGCTTTCTAGTTCCTGGTCTTCCTCTTGTCTTACTTTGCAAAAGTGAAGTGTCAGGAACTGGAGGAAAAGTATCAGACAACTGTAAGGCCGCATCCTTATGAACTGGGAGCCTCGAGAACCGTGTGCCCACTCCTTGAGGCGACTGAAGCAACAGCTGCAGCAGGAGCAAAAGCAAGCGGCGAAGGCTGACTTGCTTTCATCCGTTGCCTCTTCATGGCGGGCGGTGTTGAATTAGATGCAGGAAGGGCATCATGTGATGTGTTCACTTTTGCCAACACCGTGTTGGCCTGCGCCCAGATGCGAGCAATCGCGGACCGTCAGTTCACCGAGCCGTCCGAGCTTGAGGCTGTCTGCACGTGTGCTGCTTCCCACTAGCCACTAGCCCTTGAACAGCAGCTACTCGGAAAGAAGGCCTTCTTCCTCGAGTGCGTGGATCAGGCGCCTACAGCTTGTCCGTCTCGTTTGGACTTGTGATTGTGATTGAAATTGTTAATCCTGTGTTGAACAGCTTTCTTTGAGTTCTGTTGCGTTGCTTGCGCGACAAGACCACTCTAATCGCCACCAGCAAGTGAGAGTGTGACTGCGGAGGTGAAAACAGAGATCACCGAGCGCCGAAAAGCGGCGCTCGAGCAGAACAGAGCTTTGCGTGCTGGCGGGGAGGCCACCCGAGATGACTCCACCCAACGTCAGCTATACACTTGCATGGCTTGCTTGTTCATGGAAAGCCAGTTCATTTCAATGCAAGTGTGCGGCAGCCAGCTTGAAAGGGGAAAGCTCGCGGGTATCCAGAAGCTCTCCCACCGCATCTCGCAAAGCTGGCCGGCTGCCTGGGCTCTACCGTGATGTGTGGCTTGGGAAGCTCGCAGAGAAGCAGAAGCAGCAGAAGCGAAAGGCACAGACGCCGACGCTGGATGATTTTACTGTCACCGACAGACGCAAGGTGCAAGTGGTGCCAGCAAAGTCTGCTTTCCCAGCTACGTGGCCCTGCCACAGGTAGTAGAGCTGCTGCTCAGCAGCGAGCATGTTCTGCAGCCAGCCCGGCCCGTTTACATCGTTTGTCCAACTGCGCATCCACCCAGCGCAGGCCCGCCCACCTGCCCCCGACCCGCCCGTCTTCCCTAACCCCTGCCCTTCCCCTTCCTTTTCCTTCCCCGCAAGTTTCGAAGTGCGGCTGTTTTGCTCTGTCCAGGTTCCTTTATGACAAGCTCTTTCCACCTGCGCACATCTCAGCAAATTTGTGTTCGGGAAGTAGCGCACGATGTCGGACATGTTGGTCTTGTTCAGGAGTCTTCAGCTCAGTGAGAGATGTCCGGTGACTGGTTGGACCAGGATTACATGCACTGACAGAGTTGCCTTGCTCTCTCCGTTCCTGCGTAATTGTAAGTTGAAGCAAACATATCATCATATCTAACCATCCTTGATGTTCGTAGATGCTGTCCAGTTTCCGGGAAGGACCGGAGGTGCATGGCTTCTGAATTCATCCGTTCAGTTATGGAAGTGATGACACGATCGTCTGTTTCACGCTGGAAGGCTCTGCACAACATGAAACTGTGTTTTGCATCGCCCACATCCAAGCAGATGAAATTTGAAGTGGTAAACATTTGCCAATGCTGTAGGTGCAAGATGTTCTTTTTCAGATGTTCAGCTCGTATGTGCGACATGCGAAACTATGCTTGGGTCTCCTTTCTACAGGAAAGGGAACTCATGTGCGCGCGGAATTGCAAAAGGAGGGAAGACCAAGAGTAAGGTGTTCAAAACAGGTTGCCCAAAGTCATCGCATTTGTTGGTAGGGCTGAATGACAGAGATAAGTCGAGTTGCTGCACGCCACCAAATGCTGCGTTCGAGGTAGCTATGTGAGAGGCGAAGATGGTGTATCTTGATTTGTCATGAGTGGGGTTGTGCTTCGTACTGTGCAGGGCGAAAAGATCCTAAGATAGGCTTTCTGATGTTTTGGCTGGTGTTTTTCATTTTCCAGATCGTTCCCGCATCGCCGTCTTCTAAGATGAGTCTCGGTAGTTTGCATCCGCTAAAGCGCATCTGAAGCTCGCAGAGTGTACTGCCTCTGCATTTGGCTTGCTAGATTGCCGAGACGAAACCGTTGCTCAAGCTGCTGCGTACCTACATCTGCAGCGCTTGCGACGAGGAGCACTGGTGTTGTGACAGTATGCTATGGTTTTACATCCGGCCCATGCTGTGGAGTATGGCCTCCAAGCTCTTGTGACTATTTGTTGCCGACCTAGCAGCCTAGACTGGAAGACCACGTTTCCGAATTTTCTGGGACTGCACCGGCATTGGATGCGGTTGGAAAGATTGACCCTTGTTGCTGCCTCGGTTTATGCTACCGACACACTCGAGTCAGCGAAACTAGCCTGCCACATCAAAGCAGTCAGACAGATTTAGTGTAATACTTCAGCAGCATTGTGCTCAGATTCAGTAGCGGCATCTCGCTGCGTCATCAAGTGTTGTCAACACGAATCCTAGGACTGGGCTTGCTAGAACTAGGCTCGGTGCACTGTTTCGTCGCCCTGCCTCGAATGTCTGCACAATGGTGTCGGTCGGGGCCCTGACGGCCTTTCTTCGAGCATAGCCGTCAGGGAAGCTGACATGCACCAGGGAATGGAGGTCAGGCCGTTCTTGTCGTGTTTTGAAAGTTAACCGAGCCACCAGATCGAGGTTCTTGCTGCTGCCCATGGTCGTTCAGAGCTCTGTTACTGGCTGCTTGGTCCAGCAGTCAACCATGCATGCGACAGTATGTACACGAAGAGAAGATGGTCCAAGATCTCATAATCAGTTGTTTGTGCTCCGGTACGTGCATCCAAGTCCTGACGGGCGGTGGCGGGTTCTGCGAAGACGGAAGATGCCGCTCGCCTGAAACTGCCACTGCTACATGCCCTCAGAGACAAATGTGAGAGCCCGGAGTGGAGAGGTATCAACTGCAACTTCTGCGACGGTGACTGCCAGGGCCGCAGAATGTGAAAGATCCGCCAAAGGTCCTGAGACTGCTACGACTAAGTGGCTGAGGCTTTGATGCCTGCAGCTGCAACTCAGAGCTGAACACCTGCTGTTGCCTCGCTCCACCAGGGTTTCGACCTCAAACCCTGCGCTGCAGAGTACATTGATGCAAGACACTAACGAGACCTGGAGGCACTTCTCACGTGGCTATGAAAAGATCCCATGCAACTTGGCGACCGGAAGAAGACTATGTGAGCCACATCGAATCGAGCCTGTCGCATTATGGATCGAGTCTAGTGACATGCCCTAGGAAGCAGTTCGGAGGCTATCTCAAGAGCGAAGAGTATGACTGGAGATATTAGGTCCTGGCGGCACCTACCAAGACCAAACTGGACAGAATAGCTGCAAGCCGTGCGAGCCTTCATCAGTCTCTTCAGGTTTCTCTAGAACTGACGGTTTGAGCTTCATCTCTTGGCTTTCGGAGAAGGTGCAGCACCGATGCTTCAGTCCTGTTCAACGTGGACATGCGAGGTCGGAGTTGTTTATGCTTGCATGCCGGTTTGGATGTTGTGGAATTGTCTGCATGTTGCTGTGACAGGTGCTGTCGACTTGGTGGACTGCGAGGAGGAAGTGAGCTTGGAACAATTTTCAGCTTCTATGCACTTCCCATCTGCTGCTCCCCGTTTCTTTGTGTTGCGCGAGCAAGGCGAAGTGCTCCAACGAGAACGTCTGTGGTGCCAACTTGACTGACTGCTCAGTGCGCATCTCGTAGTTGCATGCCTGCAGCTTCTCGCCACAAGATGGGCCTGAGGCCACATGCGTATCGTCGATTTTCGCACGGAGCCTCCGCGTCAGTCCCGGGTGCAGTGTTTCTGCACTGAGCCATGTCTGAGGTCGAGACAGCGATGTATGCTCATCCGACGAACACCACTTTCTGTGCAACAACCTCGGAGGGGTTTGATGAGTGCTAGTGCTGGCCCTTCCATCCTTCATCACCCTTCAGCCTTCCATGTTCCTTGCTGTCCTCAGTCCGGGTTGGAGCAGCCCATCGCAGAGCGAGGCGCGTGGACTAAAGTTTGTTTGAAGCTGTGTCGCTGCGGGCCACTTCGCGAATGCTGCCCACGCAGCTACGCATTATGTGCTACGGGCAACTGAAAGACGTGCAAGCAACTGTGAGTGCAGCATGCACCGATGTAATGTGCATGCTGCCAGGCTGCTCGTGGCAAAGCACAACAAGCGCAGCACCAGTCTTGCGCGGGAGTGTACAGGCACCGACTTGCAGTGCTGCCCTCCTCGTATATTTGCGCTGATCTGGTTGCAGGTGCTCCTTTCTCTCATCATGCTGTGCACGATGAAAGACCTTTAGCCATGCGAAACTGCACGGTGAATTTGTGCACGTCTCATGTCCTTGGAGGCCCGACTGCACCGCACGCCGCATGCTGCGCGGCACAGTAGGCCTCAGCTCAGCGTAGATTCTCAGATTTAAGTATGTTCTTCCTCTTTCCTGGGCCTGCGCGCGGTTGCGGGTGATCGGGTAGTGAGATGACGTCGATGCGCGCATCTCTTTGTCTTACGTGCTCAGGTCAACTTGTGTTCTTCGCTGATTTAGTATACCAACATCTTCAACCGCACTTGCAACGTGAACCTCTCTCATCCCGGATGATACACTCAGGTTAACCAGTTTGACCGCAACTGTAGGTATCACTTCAGCGCCGCAGAAACTAGCGCGCAAAACGCTGGTGCTGAAGACATGCTGCCTCAAGTCTACACCACTTTGTGATGATCGCCAGTTGTCAGAGATGCAAGCCGCAGTTGCGAACACAAGCATGTTGCGAGACAACTGAGACTAACCTTCCCCGGCCTTCTCCCTTGTGCGGGTTGATTTGAATGCTCTAACATGTTCTAACCATGACATGGCCTCAAAGTCTAAGTGCCGAGACGTCCATTTTGCAGCAGATGGCCACGTGGGCCAGAGATGTGAAGCCGAGCGCGGCAGCCACGCTTGCGAGTTCATGACTGATGCCGATCCGACAGCACTCTCCTGGTATCGACGAACGGTGATGGCCAAAGGGCAACGGCGCAAACCACGAGATGCAGCTTCGGCATGGACCTCCAGCCCTGTCGTCTGCATTACCTGCAGCACAATGCTGGCCGCGGTTGTTGGCTCACTCATCTTCGCAGGCTCGCTTGTCGTCTTATGTTGTGACCCAGCGCTATCACCCTAACCCCTGCGACTCGACAAGGCTTCAGCTTCAGCTTGTCACTGGAGGCATGAGGTTCAATCTGTGTGGAGACAGAAGTCCCAGAGTCTGACCTGCATACATGCAAAGCGCAGATGCAACCTGGCGTGGTTGTGGCTGGAGACGCGACCGGGAAGGCGGCGAGAGTGTTCGGAGCGACAGTTACTCCCATGTAGGCTTCCATTTTGTCGCGAATCTTCGCCGTGGTAGGGCAGCAACCCCCACAGGCGGTGATCGGTCGCCAGCAGAGTACAGAAGTCTCCGAATCGTTTCTTCGTCTTTTGCCAACATTGCCAATGGGCAGTGGAAGGGCGACCCCCAGTGAGGAAGATGTGTTCAGATGCTGGGCCCTCGTTCTGGGGGCTTGGGGGTCTGGTTTGGGGGGTTGGGGTCTGCATGGGGGGCAGGGCGGGAAGGGGAGATTGGCCTGGCAAGTCAGGGGCTGGCTGAGGTTTAGTGGCCTAGGGCCTGCTGGGGGCCTGGTCTGGCAGTTTGGCAAGGAAATTCTGAGAAACCGCTTGCTTCACGAATTCTGTTACCCCCAACGACTTTCAAGGGTCCGTTCAAGGCAGCCAAACTCGCGGTAGTGGTGTTCGCAGAATTTGGCAGAGTGCCCCTGGGTGGTTCTGTATCAACGGACCTGCGGTGGACTGGATGGGCATGCTTGATCCGTCAAGTGAACACAATGACACTCATTCGTCGTGTTCTTCGGTTTATCTCGGAGTTGCCCTGCTCGTGACCTGGCAATGCTCGCAACGTCAGGCGTTGTCCACTCAGCCCGCTGGTCAGCTAGCTTCTGCACGTGATGAGCTGCATACATCACCTTCGACGACGTCCACCACGGGCCTGGCGCCAATGACGACAAAAGATTTCCAGGCCTTCCATGGGCAAGTTCGAGTTGAAGCCACCTAGTCCGGAAGTACCATGGGAGCCAGACCGAAGCAGCTGCACAGGCCGCTCTGCTGTCGAAAGACTCGCAGCAGAAGTGCACCAAAGTTGCATTCCTTCGAATTCAGAAGAGCCTCGAAGCAAGTGTTTTCCGTCCCATGAGATTCCTGCCATCGCTGTGGTTCTGAGGACGGCTTCCACGACATTCGGGTAAGAGTCTCAGCAATGGCAGCGAGATGACCCACAGGGGATGAGGGCCAGCATTGGCGGCATGCTACTTTCTTTGCAATCATGAGTTCATGGATCACGGTTTATGCATTCCTCTCTACAAGGCAAGAGATCATGTCGAAGATGTGTGGAAAGACTGGGCAAGTTTGCAGTCGAAGTTGGGACAGGTGCCGTGAGCTTCTTCTGTGGTTTGCCGCAGCATCACCCACGGAGTGAAAACCCTGTACACCTGCTTTTTCAGCAATTGAATTTCACCTGCTCTACATAGACGACCTGCGTATATGGCTGCGGAAGCGAGTGAAGCCGGTTTCGGGACTAGAGCTCTTGAGCTGAGCAGCCTGCACATGCTCTTTGTGTTAGAGGTGTGCACGCGGCATGGGCAAATGCTCTCTTCCGCAGCTCGTCAGCAAGTGTTGAGCTGCCCGAAGCGTCTTTCCACTAGCAGATCGAGACCAAAAGCTGAACCCAGATTTGGTTATTATCACTTGGAATACCGCGACTTGTCTTTTCATGGGCGACTGGCACGACATGTGGCTTGGATGCTGCGAAGCTCAGGCTACGCCCGTGAATTTGTAAGCGGTCCCGGACGCGGTTGTGTTGTGACATTTCTACGTGATCCAGTTGACGCTAGGCTGGCGGGGAGAGGCCCACACACAGGCTGTTGATCACAGCAAGCATGCCGGGACTTCACATCCAACTTGTCGGCAGCCTGAGGAAAGGATCATGTTCCAAGCTCAGCAGTCTTGATCTTCGAATCATTTGGAATTCAGACCGGCCGAAAATCTCTGTGGTGTAAGATTGGGCCAAGGTCTGAATACTTCATGCTGCGTGCCTTGACAGAGCACAGCAGTGGCAGCAGTGGTACCACGTAGCATCGGGTAGGATGCTGCAGCAGTGGCACGTCTTTGCAAAGTTGCAAAGGAGAGAAGCACCGACAATTCCTTATGTTTGACCAATGGGACGTACATGCCGCTGATCTCCCCGATCTTGACTCAATTCTTGGTAGCAGCCTCAAGCTGGAAGTCTCACTGGCATGAGTGTCGTTGTAGTGTCGTTGGAATCAAGCACAAGCATGCGCCATACTACAGAAGGCTGCTGCACTGGTTTCAAGCCGGTTCATTGACCGCATTTCCATTCCTTCTCTCCTGAGGCATCAAAGATGTCCACCAATCCTTTCACCAGTATCTGCAGCATCCTGGAAACCCATCACGCAACAGACAGACGTGCCCTGGACGCAGAATTGAAGATGCCAGTAGGTGTGCATCCTGGTTAATTGCCAAACGCGTTCGCTGATTCCATGCAGGTTGTACCTGCTGGGATTCCAAAGAGTGCGCTGCAATGCGACAAGATGTGGAGGAGATGCATGTATTTGTGAGCAGGACGTCTGTTGCGGGTTTGAAAGCGCAGAAGACTGTCCAGCCGAGTATAGCAGGGCTGTTGCAGCGGGGCTCGGTGGGCAGGATGACTCCGGCTATCCTTCGAAGGCATACAAATGGGACGAAGATGGAGCCGCTTTGTTGGAGAATGCCAGCTGGCTTGGCATTTAGCCGCACTGGGTGCTACTGAACGGGGGTGTACCGAGTGCGCGTCCATGAGATGTGGTGAGGCGAAGGATCACTTGCGGACGCGCCTTGCCTGCACGCCTGTGGGCCAGACCTGCAAGCGCATTAGTCTGCAACAAAGATTTGAGAGTCCAAGGTTGGATGCCTTTGGCATAACAGCCTCCAGTCTGCAACTTTGGTTCTGAAGTCCGAACTCGCCCTGTTCAGTGCTCAGGACTGCTTCGACCAATCCATCAAGGTCATAGCGCCTGCCCTGGGGTGGGACGCTGAGGCGGCTCTAAAGCTTGCCAAGGACAACCATGCCAGGGGCTGAGAGTCGTTTTCCAAAGAGATGCCAGGATTCAAGAGTTCACAATTGGGGTGAGGCATTGCATGTGTGGCGACCGGTCATGGAGAAGGCCACCGGATCGAACCAGGTCACTACCTTCATCCGAACATGCAGCTGACGCAACTCTTCTTCTGAATGATAGCTCTCTATGTGTAGATCCAAGTCCTGCACTGACGAAGCCACATATCTTAGACAACTCAGAAAAAAGACCATGCTGAGAATCCAGGCTAGATATGTCAGATAAGTGAAAACAACGCTTAGGATCCATTTTTTTTAAAATTTGTGTGTGTGTGTGGGCAACCCAAAA